GCCGGCCTGCCTGCCTGCCTGCCTGCCTGCCGGCCTGCCTGCCGGCCTGCCTGCCTGCCTGCCTGCCTGCCAGCCTGCCTGCCTGCCTGCCTGCCTGCCGGCCTGCCTGCCTGCCTGCCTGCCTGCCGGCCTGCCTGCCTGCCTGCCTGCCTGCCGGCCTGCCTGCCTGCCTGCCTGCCTGCCGGCCTGCCTGCCTGCCTGCCTGCCTGCCTGCCGGCCTGCCTGCCTGCCTGCCTGCCTACCTGCCTGCCTGCTTGCCTGCCGGCCTGCCTGCCTGCTGCACTGCTGCTCCTCCTACCAGTGCTGCTCCTGGCGGTGGCCAGATGCAGCTCCTGTGCTGTCCGCGCGAGTCTCTCACGCCCCAGCAGCTTCGTGAGTGGTACGCTAGTTGGGGTTGTGGCGGTAGCCGCCGTGGCTGTCGCACTGCAGCTGGGCAGTCGGGAGCGTCTGGTAGTGGCCACCTACAGCTGCAGCGGTGTCCGCGCGAGTCACTTTCGCCCCAGCAGCTTCAGGAGTGGTACGCTCAGAGTAGAGGGTCTCGGAGTACCGCTCGCTGCCAGTACGTCATTCGCACAGGTGCTCGGACTGGTCAGGCTTGCGGGACCCCTGGTCACACATCGTCCCGCTGTTTCGCCCGTCTGAGCGACGCCTGGCGTACCGAGTTTGGCGACGCGGCTGAGCTCCCCACCTGGCTGGAGCTGCTTAGGCAGAGGGTAGATGTCTTTGCTCTTGACTATGATGCTATTCTCACTGCCATGTATGCGTTGCCTACTAGTGATGCCGGTGCCTGTTACCTGTGCGTGCCGCCTGACCCCGGTATAGAGCCTACTGCTCTAGGTGCTGGTGAGGCTGCTGCTCTAGGTGCTCGTGCGTCTCCTCCTCCAGGTGCTGGTGAGTCTGCTCTCTCTGGTACTGCGCCTGCTGAGGCCTTGTACACCTTCACGCTTGACTCAGGTGCTTCCCGCTCCTTCTTTCGCGACTGCACCACACTCACGCCGCTTAGTCGGCCCGTTGCAGTCTCCCTGGCGGACCCCTCTAGGGGTCCAGTCCTTGCCCACTACTCCACGGTTCTGCCGTGTCCGGCCGCCCCGTCTGGCTCGCTGTCCGGTCTCTACCTCCCCTCGTTCTCTACGAACTTGGTGAGTGGAGCTGACCTCCAGGATGGCGGGGTTGACCAGTTCACTCCTGCGAGTCAGCGGGTGACCCACTGTACGTGTGCTCGGACGGGCCGACACCTGGCCACTTTTACTCGTGCGCCTGGCTCGAGTCTGTACACCCTGACCACTGCGTCTCCTCAGGTAGCTGCGTCTGCGTCTGTGTCTGGTCAACTAGTGCCCCCCTGCTCGTGTCGCGCTTTGTCGCACCAGACCCTCCTTTGGCACCACCGCCTTGGTCACCCCTCGGTGCAGCGCCTTCGTAGCATGCACCGCCGTGTCCTTGTCTCTGGTCTTCCCAGGGTTCTCCCTCCCCTCCCACCCTCGCCTGCTCCTCCCTGTCTTCCCTGTGTCGAGGGGCGGCAGCGCGCCGCTCCTCACTCCTCCTCGTTCCCTCCCACAGAGGCTCCCCTGCAGACTCTCCACCTGGACGTGTGGGGCCCAGCCCGCGTCCGTGGACAGGGCCACGAGCGGTACTTCCTGCTGGTCGTCGACGACTACACGCGTTACACCACGGTCTTCCCCTTGCAGCGCAAAGGGGAGGTCCCTGATGTTTTGATCCCTTGGATCCGCGCTACTCGTCTCCAGCTCCGCGAGCGGTTCGGGACGGAGTTTCCCGTCCTGCGTCTGCACTCTGATAGAGGTGGTGAGTTCTCCTCAGACCTCTTGGCAGCCTTCTGTGCGGAGCACGGCATCCGCCAGACTTTCACGCTTCCGGCCTCTCCGCAGCAGAATGGGGTTGCTGAGCGCCGCATTGGCTTAGTCATGGAGGTCGCTCGTACCTCCATGATCCATGCGGCTGCCCCCCATTTTCTGTGGCCGTTTGCGGTCCGGTACGCAGCGCATCAGCTCAACCTCTGGCCCCGTGTCTCCTTGCCGGAGACCTCGCCCACACTGCTGTGGATGGGGGAGGTTGGCGATGCGTCGCGTTTCCGGGTCTGGGGTGCTCGTGCCTTTGTCCGCGATACCACCGCGGACAAGCTCTCCGCTCGCGCTGTTCCCTATGTCTTCCTTGGCTTTGTCCCTGACGCGCCTGGTTGGCAGTTTTACCACCCCACCTCGCGCCGTGTCTTTGCGTCTCAGGACGTCACGTTCGACAAGTCGGTTCCCTTTTACCGTCTCTTCCCCTACCGCACTGCCCCTCTCCCCCCCCCCCCGCCGCTCTTCCTCGCTCCAGGTGCTCCCCAGGTAGACCCCCTCCCCGCTCCCGGTCCTGCTCCTTCAGGTGTGTCTCAGGTAGACCCTCCTCCCTTGCCTGCGCCGGTTGAGGTTACTGGTGACTCAGGTCCTGCTGCGGGTGGTCCTGCTCGGGGTGCTGTCTCTGGGGGTGCTGAGCCTGGGGGTGCGGAGTCTGGGGGTGCTGTCTCTGGGGGTGCTGAGCCTGGGGGTGCTGGGCCTGGGGGTGCTGAGCCTGGGGGTGCTGCGTCTGGGGGTGCTGAGCCTGGGGGCGCTGGGGCGTCTGGTGAGCAGTCTCCCTCGAGCGACCGTCTCCGTAGTCGCTCCGCTGGTGCCTCGCCGCTGCACTCTCGGAGCCGTCTCCCTCTCTCCCCTCAGCAGCTCCATGAGTGGTACGTTAGCCGTCAGGGTCGCGCTGCTGGAGCTGGGGGCCGTGCTGCAGGGTGCGCTGATGCTGGCGGCACTGGAGCCGGCGCTGTCCCTAGGGGTGCAGAGACTGGGGGTGCTGGGTCTGAGCGTCAGGAGCCTAGGAGTGCTGCGTCTGGAGGTGCTGAGCCTGAGCGTGCGGAGCCTGGAGGTACTGAGTCTGGGAGTGCTGAGGCTTTCGGTGAGGAGGCTGGAGGTACTCCGTCTGGGGGTGCTGCGCCTGTGCGTGAGGAGTCTGGGGGTCCTGAGTCTGGGGGTGCGGCGTCTGGGGGTGCTGCGTCAGAGGGTACTGCGACTACTGGTGCGCGGTCTCCTTGGAGTGGCCGCCTTTGTCCGCGTGTGCCTCTCACCTCGCAGCAGCTGCAGGACCGGTACGGTCGCCGTCAGGGTCGCGCTGCTGGAGCTCGGGGCTCTGCAGCTGGAGGTGCTTCTGCTGACGTCGCTGGAGCTAGGAGTGTTGCTGGTTCTTTGACTACTGGCAGTCCTGGAGCTGCTTGGACCGCAGGTGCTGTGTCTGGGGGTGCTGCTGCTGGAGACACTGCGGTTGGAGACCCTGGGGCTGGAGGTTTAGGTTCTGGGGGTGCTGCTGCTGGTGGAGCTGGTCCTGGAGGAGCTGGCGCTGCGGGTCCTGGAGCTACTGGGGGCGCTGGAGCTGCTGGTGCTGGTGCCGCGGCGCAGCCGAGACTGTTCTTTGCTCAGCCGTCTTCGTCGTCCCCTCCGTCGCCTGACTCTGTGCTTCGCCAGGTTCTTAGCCTACCGTCGTCTACTGGTCTTCCGTTACAGCCTGACTCCCCTCTGCCTGTTCCTTCTCCCTACACCGCGCCGACTGGGGGTCTTGCTGCGCGTCGTGAGCCTGCGTCGCGTCCTGTCTCGCGTGTTCGCTTTGGTCGTACTAGTCGTCTTGTTGCTCGTCCGCGTCAGCCGGCTGTCCCCGGCGCACACCTCGTAGTCCGTCGTCTTTCCTCTACTGAGCGGTCAGTTCCTATACCGTCTCCCCCTGCGTCCTCTCTGCCTGACGTTCCCGACCCTGAGTCTGACCGGTTCCGTGCTGAGCACCCTACTGTCACGCGTCTGTTAGCCACTGTTGTTACTGACCCGTCGTTTGAGTCTGCTGCTGCGTCTGCCTTGGTCGCTGAGCTTGTTGACTTTGCTGCTGCCTGTCGTCTAGACTACGCTGCTAGTCTTGTTGCTGAGTCTGCGTCTGTCTGTCCTCCGTCCGTCGGGGGTGAGTGTGCTCCTGGCACGGACGTCCTTGAGGACAGACAGGAGGACCTTGAGTGTCTTGCGGCCGCTGCGCCTCATCTCGTGGCCATGCTGCTTGCCCCTGAGGGAGACCCGGATGCTCTTGACATCCCTACCCCGCGCTCTTACGCTGAGGCGATCGCGGGTCCCTACTCCTCTCAGTGGCAGACAGCCATGGACGCAGAGATGGCATCCTGGAAGTCCACAGGCACTTACGTTGACGAGGTTCCCCCTCCTGGGGCGAACATCGTCGATGGCATGTGGATTTTCAGGGTGAAGCGGCCGTCGGGTTCTCCGCCTGTCTTCAAGGCTCGTTACGTTGCTCGAGGCTTCAGTCAGCGACAGGGAGTTGACTTCTTCCAGACCTTCTCCCCCACCCCGAAGATGACCACTCTTTGGGTGCTACTGCACGTTGCCGCTCAGCGTGACTACGAGCTTCACTCTCTTGACTTCAGCACAGCTTTCTTGCAGGGCAGTCTACACGAGGAGATCTGGCTGCGCCGTCCTCCTGGCTTCACTGGGTCTTTTCCTCCTGGTACCCAGTGGAGCCTCCGACGGCCAGTTTACGGTCTCCGCCAGGCACCATGTGAGTGGCACGACACACTGAGGACGACACTTGCGGCTCTTGGGTTTGCTCCCTCCACTGCAAACCCTGTCAGAATCACTAGGCAAGAATGATTGAACTAACAGAAGTTTGGGTACAAATATGAAACCCTAGTTGGGGTTGTACCCCATATTGGCTACCCCACTACAGCCTACAAGCATAATACAGTTTAACACACCCCCATAGGCAAAGTGGGGGAGAACAAAGGGTCACAAGACCAGTCCAGCAAAGCAAAACAAAGCCCAGGGTGGATCACAACGTCACCACACTCCGAGCACAAGTAAAGGCCACAAGGCCAGTTCACATGCAGTGCTAGATATAGTACAAGACAAGCAACACAGTGATCAAAACCTAGCAAGCAAGCAACAAGATATATATAAAGTACAGTACAAAGAATGTCAAGCAGTGAGCAAGTGAGGAAACGTGGACACAAGGCCTAAAGAAGTACAGTGCCGCTGATGATCACTAGGCGGGAGCGCCTTGGTGAAGATATCAGCAGTGTTGGCCTTCGAGTCCACGTACACAAGTCGAAGCTGACCGCGCTGCTGAAGCTCTCGAGCAAGAAAGTAGCGAAGAGCAATGTGCTTCGTTCTGTGCTCCAATCTGTGCTCCTGACACAAGGCAAGAGCCGCCTTGTTGTCACCGTACAGAACTGGAGGAGAACTAGGCCGCTCTCCCAAGTCAGTCAGCAGGTAGGTGAGCCAGCGTAACTCCTGTGCAGCCATGGCTGTGGCGTAGATCTCAGCCTCACAACTAGAGCCGAGAACAGAGGAAGAGCGGGTGGACCGCCACGAGACAGAACCTGCGCCAAGGCTGAAGGTGTAACCCTGTGACGACCGCTGCGTAGCCAGGTCGTCCACCCAAGAGGCGTCCGAGTGACCAGTGAGGACAACTCTGTCGCGTCCTCCAAGCACCAGCCCCATGCCTGATGTACTGCACAGGTAACGCAGCACCCTCTTAGCAGCCTCCCAGTGCTCTCGCCTGTGTCTCCCAGGCGCAACGTAACGAGCAAGGATGCTAAGAGGGTACGCGAGGTCAGGTCGCGTGCAAGTCATCAAGTACATGAGGCAGCCTACAAGCTCTGGGTACGGGCCACTCGGCTCTACGGACTCGTCCGAAGGTGGAGCTGAGAGCGAGTGGCTGGTAGCCAGAGGTGTGGCCTGTGGTGAGGAGAACTGGAAGCCGAAGCGCTGAAGGACCTGCTGCACCATGTGTAACTGAGTCAGGGTGATGGTGCGGCGAGCTCTGTCCCGGGTGATCTGCAAGCCAAGGTAGCTACGCAGTTCACCCAGGTCAGTGCAGGTGTGTCTCTTCTGCAGCTCCGACTTCACACGAGCGAGTGCCTCAGTGTCAGCAGTAGCAAAGACCAAGTCGTCGACGTACACGAGAATGTAGAACGGCGGCAGCGACGTGTCTGTGCGCAGAAACAGCGACGGGTCAGCAGTAGACGGCGCGAACCCAAGAGCCGCAAGAGTAGTCCTCAGTGTGTCGTGCCACTCACGTGGCGCCTGGCGGAGACCGTAGACTGGCCGGCGGAGACTCCACTGGGTACCAGGGGGAAACGACCCAGTAAAGCCAGGTGGGCGGCGCAGCCAGATCTCCTCGTGCAGGCTGCCCTGCAGGAACGCTGTGCTGAAGTCAAGAGAGTGAAGCTCGTAGTCACGCTGAGCAGCAACGTGCAGCAGAACCCAAAGAGTGGTCATCTTCGGGGTGGGGGAGAAGGTCTGGAAGAAGTCGACCCCCTGACGCTGACTGAAGCCTCTAGCAACGTAACGAGCCTTGAAGACAGGCGGAGAACCTGGCGGCCGCTTCACCCTGAAAATCCACATGCCATCGACGATGTTCGCCCCAGGAGGGGGAACCTCGTCGACGTAGGTGCCTGTGGACTTCCAGGATGCCATCTCTGCGTCCATGGCTGTCTGCCACTGAGAGGAGTAGGGACCCGAGATCGCCTCTGCGTAAGTGCGCGGAGTGGGGATGTCTAGTGCATCCGGGTCTCCCTCAGGGGCAAGCAACCAGGCCACGAGATGAGGTACAGCAGCCGCAAGAGAGTCAAAGTCCTCCTGCCTGTCCTCAAGGACGTCCGTGCCAAGAGCACACTCACCCCCGACGGACGGAGGACAGACAGACGCAGACTCTGACTCAGCAACAAGGCTAGCAGCGTAGTCTAGACGACAGGCAGCAGCAAAGTCAACCAACTCAGCGACCAGAGCAGACGCAGCCGAGGACTCAAAGGTAGGGTCAGTGACAACAGTAGCGAGGAGACGCGTGACTGTAGGGTGCTCAGCGCGATACCGGTCAGACTCAGGGTCCGGAACGTCAGGCAAAGAGGACGCAGGAGGAGACGGTAGAGGGACACGCCGAGGAGCAGTAGAGGGACGCAGAGTCATGTAGTGAGTGCCTGGGACAGGAGGAGGACGCTCACGACGGACACGACTAGCAGTGCGAGCAGGACGAACAGGCGACGCAGGACGAGACTCAGGCTCACGACGCTCTGTAAGACCTCCTGTGGGACCAGTATAAGGAGAGGGAGCAGGGAGAGGCGAGGCAGGCGGTAACTGTGACTGTGGCTGGACAGGCGGAGGACACTCTACGGAGGGAGGAGGACAAGGAGGAGGAGCCTGCCCAAGAACCTGCTGAAGGAGCGGTACGAAGTACGGTCGCGGCCGCGCAGCGTCTCCAGAAGCAGAAGGGACTCCAGCGGCCGGGTCCTCAGCACCAGTAGGAGCTCCAGCGTCCGGGTCCACAGCACCAGCAGCAGCTCCACCGGCCGGGTCCCCAGCTCCAGCAGCAGCTCCACCAGGTGGGTCCGCAGCACCAGCAGCAGCGCCACCCCCAGAGTCGGCAGCTCCAACTCCGCTAGCACCGCCAGCGCCAGAGTCCCCAGCTCCAGCAGCTCCAGTCGCAGTGCTCCCAGAACAGCCAGTCCCGGCAGCTCCAGTACCCCCAGTACGAGCACCCCCAGGACGAGCAGCTCCAGCACCCCCAACTCCAGCCGAGCCACTAGGACGGCGAAAGCGTCGGACGTACCAGTCACGAAGCTGCTGCGGTGTGAGAGACTGCTCAGCACCCCGAACCGGAGCACCCCCAGACGCAGTAACCCGAGGCTCCGTAGGCTCAGTAGCAGCACCCCCAGGCTCAGTACCCGCAGGCTCAGTACCCGCAGGCTCAGCACCCCCAGTCGCAGCACCCCCAGGCTCAGCACCCCCAGGCGGCAAACTCTCAGGCACAGTACCCTCAGCTCCAGCACCCGCAGCCCCAGCACCCCCAGGCCCAGCACCCCCAGGCTCAGCACCCCCAGGCTCAGCACCCCCAGGCTCAGCACTCCCAGCAGCACCACCCGCAGCAGCACCTGAGTCACCTGTGACCTCGACAGGCTCAGCGACGGGAGGAGGGTCTACCTGAGAGACACCTGAAGGAGCAGGACCCTGAGGGGGAAGGGGGTCTACCGGAGGGGGACCAGGAGCAAGGAAAAGCGGCGGGGGAGGGAGGGGGGCAGTGCGGTAGGGGAAGAGACGGTAAAAAGGGACCGACTCGTCAAAGGTGACATCCTGAGAGGCGAAGACCCGGCGCGAGGTGGGGTGGTAAAACTGCCAGCCAGGCGCGTCAGGGACAAAGCCAAGGAAGACACAGGGAAGCGTGCGGGAGGAGAGCTTGTCCGCGGACGTATCGCGGACAAGGGCACGAGCACCCCACACCCGGAAGCGCGACGCATCGCCAACCTCCCCCGTCCAACGCAGTGTGGGCGAGGTCTCCGGCAAGGAGACACGGGGCCAGAGGTTGAGCTGATGCGCGGCGTACCGGACAGCAAACGGCCACAGAAAATGGGGAGCCGCCGCATGAACTAAGGAGGTACGAGCGACCTCCATGACCAGGCCAATGCGGCGCTCAGCAACCCCATTCTGCTGTGGGGAGTCCGGAAGCGTGAAGGTCTGCTCGATGCCCTCCGCCTGACAGAAGGTCCTCAAGAGATCGGAGGAAAACTCACCACCTCTGTCAGAGTGCAGACGCAGGACAGGAAGATCCGTCCGGAAACGGCGGCGGAGCTGGAGACGAACCGTGCGGATCCAAGGGATCAGAACAGCAGGGACCTCACCCTTGGTGCGCAAGGGGAAGACCGTGGTGTAACGCGAGTAGTCGTCGACAACCAGCAAAAAATACCGCTCACCGCCCTGACCACGAACGCGGGCTGGGCCCCACACGTCCAGGTGGAGGGTCTCCAGAGGAGCCTCTGTCGGGGGGAACGAGGAGGAGTGAGGAGCGGCGCGCTGCCGCCCCTCGACGCAAGGAAGGCAGGGCGGCGCAGGCGAGGCAGGGAGGGGAGGGAGGGACCTGGGAAGACCGGACACAAGGAGGCGACGGTGCATGCCACGAAGGCGTGGCAAGGAGGGGTGACCCAGGCGGTGGTGCCAGAGAAGAGTCTGGTGCGACAGGGAACGACACTCACAGGCGTGGGCCACCAGACCTGACGCAGACACCTGACCGACAGCAGCTACCTGGGGAGACGCAGTGGTCAGTGTGTAGAGACTCGACCCCGGCCGACGGGTGAACGTAGCCAGGTGACGGCCAGTCCTGGAGCACGTGCAGATCGCCACACGCTGTCCGCCAGGGGTAAAGGTGTCAACCCACTGATCCTGGAGGACAGCGTTGCTCACCAGGTTCGTCGAGAACGAGGGGAGGTGGAAACCCGACAACGAGCCAGACGGAACCGCCGGACAAGGGAGGACAGTGGTGGACTGGGCAAGGACTGGGCCCCCAGAGGGGTCAGCCAAGGAGACTGGGACCGGTGCAGGAAGCGGTGTGAGCTCAGTACTGTCACGAAAGAAGCAACGGGAAGCACCTGAGTCAAGGGTGACAGGCCTCAGCCGGTGCGGTACCTGAGAGAGCAGTCTCTGTGGGTGCTGTACCTGAGAGAGCAGACTCGAAACCAGCCGGGACAGCACTGGGGGGAGCAAGTACAGGGGGCACCATACCAGAGAGAGCAGACTCACTAGTACCCAGGGCAGCGGGCTCTATACCTGGGTCAGGCGGCACACACAGGTAACAGTCTCCCTCGGCACTAACAGTCAATGCATACATGGCAGCAATAATAGCATCATAGTCAAGAGCAAAGACATCAACACCAGCCCTCATGAGCTCAGCCCAGCGGGGGCGCTCAACATCCGCACCCATCTCCTCACGCCAAGCGTCGTCAAGGCGGGAGAAGCAGCGGTACGGGGTGTGGAACCTCCCACACGTCTGTCCCTTGCGGTCACCTGTGCGAATGACATAAGAACAGCGGGCACTGGCCCCCGACGTCCCACGCTGAGCAAGCCACTCACGAAGCTGCTGGGTCGTCTGGGGACGCTGCTGCTGCTGGGAGCTCTGGCCAGAGCCAGTGCCTCCACTCCGACCTCCGCCGCCACCACTACCACCGCTCCGACCGGCACCGCCACCACCGCCACCACCGCCACCGCCGCCGCCGCCACTACTGCCACTGGTCCCTCCGCCGCCCCCGTCTCCACCACCGACCCCACTCCCACCAGCGCTCCCGCCACCGCTCCCTCCAGCACCGCCTCCCCCCCCACCTCCCCCACCTCCTCCCCCCCCAGCGCCACCACCACCACCCTTGCCCCCCTTGCCCTTGCCGGTGCGGCGCCTCCCACCAGGAGTAGAAGCAGCGCCAACAGACTCAGCACCAAGGAAGTCAACAGCAGCAGCAGCAGCGTAGGAGGGAGCGAGGGGAGAGGGAGAACACCCCTCAAAGATGGGGGTGCGAGGAGCGCCACGAGCAGCACCGACAGCTACAATGCTCTTTTCGGCCGCGAGCAGGTGCTCCTCTAGGAGGGCGACTGTGAGCTCAGTGGGACAGCGAGCAAGGAAGTGGTCTCGAACTGAGCGGAGGGTGTCAGGGAGACGGGTGACTATGAAGTGGAGTGTCCAGTACAGTGGAGGGGGGTTCTTAGCGCAGAACTCGGTGGGAAGGGCGGCACGCAGGCGAGCATCACTAGTGCGAAGGTGGGTGATAAGATCGGCGACTGTAGTAAAGGTGGACAGATCGGGGAACAGGTACGGCAGCATGAGGCGGCTAAGCTCAGCTGTGGCAGGCGAGGAGTAGCGAGCGACGACAGCGTCGTAGAGGGCCTTAGCGGATTTGCAGTCGCCAAAATGCTCTAGCTCAGCTAACGGCAGGTGACTGCGAATGGCTAGGCGAGCAGCTGCGTCACGAGTCTGCCAGTGGGAACGAACACTAAGCTCAGCTGTGGCAGGAGGGGCAGGCGCAGCACCAGACGCGTAGTCATAGAGCGACACATGCTCCTTGCTATCGCTCAGGAGAAACAGCTGCAGGTCATCTAGCCAAGCGGTGAAACGCACAGGGCGGCCCTCAGCATCGAACGACAGCACGCGAATGGAAGCCATAGCGACAGTGTGACAGAGTAACGAAAACTGCCGCAGCAGGGGAAGACGACTGTGCACGGATAGAGAGCAGCGGGCGAGGCTGGCGCTACGGGCAGGCGGCGCTGCAAGCGGTCAGTGCGACGGGAGGGCGACGCTGCGAGCGGGCAGCGCGGCGGACGGGCCGGAAAGCGGGCAGCGCGGCGGGCAGGCGGCGCTGCAAGCGGGCAGCACGGTGGGCGGGCGACGCTGCGAGGCGGGCGGGCCGCAAAGCGAGCAGCGGGCGGGCGGGCGGGCTGCGAAGCGGGCAGCGGGGCGAGCGGGCCGCGAAGTGGGCAGCGAGCGGGCGGGCGGGCTGCGAAGTGGGCGGGCCGCGAAGCGGGCAGCGGGGCGAGCGGGCTGCGAGGCGGGCGGGCCGCGAAGCGGGCAGCGAGCGGGCGGGCGGGCTGCGAAGTGGCGGGCCGCGAAGCGGGCAGCGAGCGAGCGGGCTGCGAAGCGGGCGGGCCGCGAAGCGGGCAGCGAGCGAGCGGGCTGCGAAGCGGGCGGGCCGCGAAGCGGGCAGCGAGCGGGCGGGCGGGCTGCGTAGCGAGCGGGCCGCGAAGCGGGCAGCGAGCGGGCGGGCGGGCTGCGAGCGGGCGGCTCGGCGAGGGGCGCGCGAGGGCGCTAGTGAGGGGCGCGCGAGGGCGCTAGTGAGGGGCGCGCGAGGGCGCTAGCAAGGGGCGCGCGAGGGCGCTAGCAAAGGGGCGCGCGAGGGCGCTAACGAAGGGGCGCGCGAGGGCGCTGACGTGAGTGCGCGCGAGGGCGCTAACGAGGGTGCGCGCGAGGGCGCTAACGAGGGCGCTACGAGGCTAGGGAACGGGGTAGCGTGGTAACCGCATGCGAGCGGTGGTGGGCCCTAAAAAAAAAACGATCGGTAGGTCCTAGGGACCTCCTGCTCTGAATACCATGTCAGAATCACTAGGCAAGAATGATTGAACTAACAGAAGTTTGGGTACAAATATGAAACCCTAGTTGGGGTTGTACCCCATATTGGCTACCCCACTACAGCCTACAAGCATAATACAGTTTAACAGACCCTTCACTGTTCCTGCGCACAGACACGTCGCTGCCGCCGTTCTACATCCTCGTGTATGTCGACGACTTGGTCTTTGCTACTGCTGACACTGAGGCACTTGCTCTTGTGAAGTCGGAGCTGCAGAGGAGACACACGTGCACAAAATTCGGTGAGCTGCGCAGTTACCTTGGCTTGCAGATCACCCGGGACAGAGCACGCCGCACCATCACCCTGACTCAGTCACACATGGTGCAGCAGGTCCTTCAGCGCTTCGGCTTCCAGTTCTCCTCACCTCAGTCCACTCCTCTGTCTACCAGCCACTCGCTCTCAGCTCCACCTTCGGACGAGTCCGTAGAGCCGAGTGGCCCGTACCCAGAGCTTGTAGGCTGCCTCATGTACCTGATGACCTGCACTCGACCTGACCTTGCGTACCCTCTTAGCATCCTAGCTCGCTACGTCGCACCTGGGAGACACAGGCGAGAGCACTGGGAGGCTGCTAAGAGGGTGCTGCGCTACTTGTGCAGTACATCAGGCATAGGGCTGGTGCTTGGAGGACAGGGCTCGGTTGTCCTCACTAGACACTCAGACGCCTCTTGGGTTGACGACCTGGCTACGCAGCGGTCGTCACAGGGTTACACTTTCAGCCTTGGCTCTGGTTCTGTCTCTTGGCGTTCCACTCGCTCTTCTTCGGTTCTCAGCTCCAGTTGTGAGGCTGAGATCTACGCCACGGCCATGGCTGCACAGGAGCTACGCTGGCTCACCTACCTGCTGACTGACCTGGGTGAGCGGCCTCGTTCTCCTCCAGTTCTGTACGGCGACAACAAGGCAGCTCTTGCCTTGTGTCAGGAGCACAGACTGGAGCACAGAACGAAGCACATTGCTCTCCGTTACTTTCTGGCTCGAGAGTTGCAGCAGCGTGGCCAGCTTCGCCTTGTGTACGTGGACTCGAAGGCCAACACTGCTGATATATTCACCAAGGCGCTTCCGCCTAGTGATCATCAGCGTCACTGCACTGCGTTAGGCCTTGTGTCCACGTTCTCTCACTTGCTTACTTCTTGACTTTGCTTGTACTGTGATCTATATATATGTCCTTGCATGCTTGCACTTGCTAGGCTTTGATCACTGTACTACTTGTGTTCTTCTGTATAAACCTGCATGTGAACTGGCCTTGTGGCCTTTGCTTGTGCTCAGAGAGTGTGGTGACATTGTGATCCACCCTGAGCTTGTTCTTTGCTTTGCTTGATTGGTCTTGTGACCCCTTGCTCTCCCCCACTTTGCCTATGGGGGTGTGTCAAAGTATAAATGTGTTTTATGTTGGTAGGCTGTAGTGGGGTAGCCAATATGGGGTACAACCCCAACTAGGGTTTCCTATTTGTACCCTTGCTTCTTTCAATCCAACCATTCTTGCCTAGTAATTCTAACAGCTAGAAGAGACGGAGTCCTTGGCTTGATAAGTTTTGTTGAGGTAGTTCCAGGCGGCGAGGGCAGGGGCTGGGAAGTTCTTGTAGGGGCGGATGCCGAGCTGTTCGGTCGGCACCATGTTCCGCAGGAGAACGCTATACGCCATTAGCGATTCGTTGTAGTATTGCGCTTTTGCGTCGTCAGTGTCGCTGGTGGGGCCAGCGTAGCTTCCATCGAAGTAGCAGAAAATTTGCGCGTTTTGCAGCAGTAGCTCGAGCTCGAAACTCCAGGTGTAAAAATCACGTCCGCTAAACACGGTGCTGGTGCGGATCTTGGAGATAGTCAGAAACTTGTTCTGAGCTGCGAGCACGGCTTCATCACTTGGACGAGGAGTATTTGGAGCAGTGGAATTTGAGCCGATTTCGAAGTTGGTTGGGCTTGGTTCTTTGACTGGAGCGGTCGGTTGCTCGGGTTGCGGAGCGGTTGGCTGGTTGTCATTCTTCAATTGTTGTACTCTAGATTCTGCGTGGCGATTCGCTGGATGAGTTGCTCCAGAAGCGCATTACTGACGGTGGTGGTTCCCGCGGAATTCGCGGTTGGGTTGATAGGGGGTTCGGCCGTGTTGGCCGCTTGCCCTCCAGATCCTCCAGCCATGTTTCGGCGGGAGCGCGTACCGGACGCCACCTTGAATTTTGAATTGAATCAAAGGTGGTGGTGCGAAGAATCCTGAGTGGCTCTCATACCATGATACAATCTGAACCGTCTTATAGGATCGTCTCAGGTTGATCGCACGGAGTGTAGCAGCGGAAGGTTTGAACACTGTCGGGTACGGACTCTGTCAGTAGAAGGAGATTTGAATATCGACAGAAGTTATTAACATAGTGCGGTACAAGGGTTTATATAGGAATACAGTGGAATACGAAAAGTCCTAGCTAGCCATGTACTCTGAGGGGGTACATTCCCCTTAGGGCTAATCTAGATGCAGGATTGCAACTGTGCGGCTCGGTAACCGTACGCGGTCCGGTGAACGTTTGAACTTTCCCGCACTTTTTATTTCGAAATCTTCCTGCTTGCAACTGTCTTCGATAACTGTCCTGGCGCTTGGTCTTTCGTCCTCGTTGCAGTCATCTTCGCGTTGAGGATTCGTTACTTTAGGAATGTTCAATCATTCCATATCGTAACATAAGGCTGTCTGAGAAATCAGATAAATAGAAAAAAGCTTCTCTGAAAAATCATATGAAATTAAACAACATGTCTACGACATTAGATGAACCAGCAAAAACGTGTTCAGAATCCGGAAATTCAAACAGAAAATTTCTGACAACGTAGGCCCTGACATCGATCCCCTCCCACGATCGATCCTGGAAAAATGAAAACAGGTGCCACGTCCTTAGCCCCTTGGGTTCTTGAAGTGTTGTATGAACTGTTACGGTATGTATAATTTCTTTCCATTGCTTTGATCTATGAACATGTCTGTCTTGTTTAGGGCGTGTTACATCGCCAACATTGAAATTTTGGCTCCAAACGTCGGGTCGAGTTGGCAAAAGTAACCCTATAACGAAGATCGTCAATATTGTCGCTCTTTTCGCCACTTTCGGGAAAAAAAAAACGAATTAGGTTGCCGTACAAAAAGTCGACCGATTGGTCGTCGTCGCGTCGACTTAAAAACGGCCACGCATCCGTCGTGTCGTCGCGACAGCGTCGCAACGAGTCGCAAACCGTTTGCGACAGCGTTGCGACAGACTGTATCATGTGCGCGACTCCGTCGCAGAAATTGGCCTGCCCCAATTTAACAACTTTCCTAAAGCGGCGTGCAAATCGGCCACCAAAGTTGTTAAATCGCCAAAACTGTAAATGATGGATGTAAAAGAGTCGACTCTGATTCGGCCACCTCGTCGTTGTTCGCGAAAAATATGGCGACCATCTGGTCGTCGAAAATTCGGCCACACCCCATTTTCGGAATCGTGCGGGGATTTAACACGCCCTTAGGCCCTGTTCGACAGCATTTCGGCAAAAGGCCCCCCACCATTGTCCAAGCACAACGGTGGGAGCATAAAGACAAACGCTGAGCCGTTCGGCACCGCCGGCAGCGTAATGATTGAAGCCGACTGCCTGCCGTCTTCGATAACCGCGCCCAACGGCCAAGATGATCCACATCACCTTGCCAACGGCGCTTTGAAGCGGAAACAGTGGGCACCGAGCGATGCTACGGTTTCCCCACGGTGATGTATGGTTAGACAAAAAAAAAAAACAATTCGAGACCAAAAGAAAAAAAACCAACCGCAGCCCCAAGAAGACTGGGAGGTGTATCGACCCGTCTGTAAGGGATGGTTTTTCGTACCCTTAAATTTGGGCAGCTTAACCTGGGGAAACCGTCCGTTTAGACTATCCCCAAATAGCCCCTCCCTGTGGAATGGTTGTGACTTCTCCTGAAAGTAGAAATGGCATTGGTGTCGAGCGGGGGGGTCGTTTTGCCCCTGAGGAGTTAGTTGCCGCGCTGGTGCCAGTGGTAGTTGGCATCCATGACCCTTTCATCACTCCCTCCTGTCCGCTCCCCCTCCCCACCCCATCATTCCACTTCCCGTACGTTCTTGCCAGCTGCCACATGACCGAAACCCTAGCGGACCTGTCACCCGGGAAATCCGGGCGTTAACTTTCCGTCCTATAAGGCCAGCGTTCGTCAAACCATGGCTTTCGTTAGTCGGTTCCCCCTACTCGACAACGCCTCGGCTCACGGTAAGTTCGCCACGCTATCTGTTTTCTTACTATGATTTCTTCTTGTTCTTCCTAACATCTCGTGGCCATGCAGGTGTCTGTGCGAAAGCTCCTACTATTTTCGTCTTCTCGCCTCTTCAAAATCACGCTACTACTTTCAGCTGCCGTCGGACCCTACCTCGCCTTTTCGCTGCAATTTTCTTTCTCATCTAACTCGTCTTACGCGGCTGCAGATTCGCGGTTATCCTAACCTTTTCCACTTGTCCTTCTTTCTCTTTCAGCTCTATCGCTACCAACGTCCTCCCTTTCGGCGCCTTCGCTTCCCTTGCTACCCATTCCCCCGTTCCGCCCGTCGCCTCGCGCTCAAGTCTTTCACACCTGGTTACGTCCCGGCCTTCAGCTCAGCGCGGTATCCCGTCGTGCGTTTGCTCCGTTGCATGGTCTACCCCACGCACGGCTGGCTCCTCCGGTCTGCATCCCAGCCGTCACTTATCGCTTTAGCTTTCACTCACCTGTTCCAGCCGCCTGCTCCCATCCCTTCGCCGACCGATACCCCCCCTCCCTGGCACAACACCGCGGTGCCTGTTGTTCGGATCTCTCTGTGCTGTTCCCCAGCTAGTTTTTCCCTATGGCCACTTAGGCCCTTGTCATCTCGACACGCCTTTGCCTTCGCATGGCTTTTTGACTTGGGAAGCTCCCTAGGCTCCCAGTCAATTTCTCGGGAATGCTCTGGCCGCCTAGGCCTATGCTCCCACTCTCTCACTGCAACCCCCTGCCCCTCTCGCCTTCTGGTTCCTTTTACCCTCCCGCGCCCAGCTATGGCTTGTTTGCCCTCTCGTTTTTTTCCCCATATTCGCCCGTGCGTGATCCCGTTCGCTCCTTTTTCTTTCCAACCATTCGGTCCCCGCGCCCCACCCCACCGCTCTCGTTTTCTGCCCGAATTGCTGCCTTCCATGGCTTTCTCCTCAGTCACCCTTCCGGCCCTCCCCTCCCCCGGACCCCCCCTGCCCGCCTCGACCCTTTTCCTGCCCTGCTCCCCCCTCGGCCTCTCACCGCCTATCGCTCCTTGCTTCCCCCTTTTCCTCTCCCGGTTCTTCGCTCCCACCTTCGTTTCATTTGCCCAGCTGCCCCCCCCGTTTCACATCCCCCCCAACCAGCTCTCTCCCGCTTCCCCGGCTCAGCCCTCCTCTTTTTCCTGTTGCACCCGTTTCTTCCTTTCGTCCTGCTCCTTTTTTTACCCCTGGCCTCCGTTCCCCCCCCTCCCCCTCGCTCTCTGGTCCTGCTACCCCCCGCTCTCCCACTCTCATGCTCCGTTCCTCCCCCCTTTCCCTCAGCTTTGTCATCGCAGCGCCTGTCGCTCATCTCTCTTTCATTCTCCCGTCTCGTTGCACCTTGCCCGCTTCCTAACCCCCCTGACACAACCCTCCCTCCCCCTCTCCGCCCTGTCAGTATCGCCTCCCTTGCATGCCCGGCCTTTGCCCCCCCGCCCCCCTCCCTCTGGTCTTGTGCCGCCTCCCTCCTGTCCCATCTCTCCCAGGGAACCTCCTGGTGAACCACGCTGCCCCCTCCGCCTTTCGCAACGATCCGGCTGCCAAGGATACATTTGGTCCTTGGCGCGTTCTTACCCTGTCGCAGCAGAAGGACCCGGTGGCTGCGTTACTCGTCACCCTCGGCTGTTTTCCTCGCCACCCGTCAGGGGACTTGATAGAGCTCCCCTCTGGATGTTTTCTCTTGGCTGCTCACCTTGTCTCTATCATGTACCTGCCTGCTTATTTTGTGAAACTACATATATGGTTGGTACTATTGCCTCGCCTTTGGTTGGAACCAAAGTGACGACTCCTTCACTACAGCTCACCCATCCCAACAACAAGGCGTTAAAACCGAGATATTAAATAGTGAACCCCGACCCAGCTTGAAAAGGTGCTGCGACTAGGGAAAGAGATCGGGCCGATAAAGAACTGGCTAAACTGATGTGATTGGCAGTTGCGAATCTGTGATTTTTATTGGTTCCCGCCAAAACATCGTCACCCGTCGCATGTTTACGTGCACCACCCACACGATCGCTGCCAAGCGATGTTTTGAGTCGCCAGGCCCAACTTCAGTTTCAAGCTGGAACTGGGTTCATTACTCACTTTTCTGCTTTCCTTGTCACCAGTCTTTGCCTAGCTAAAAGTAGTTGAAATCTTAGTCGGTTGTCACATAGGCATGCTATTACCGACATTAGTAAGACGTGATCTAGTGTCGTAATTGTGTTGGGCCCATCGCGAGCTTTTTTCGTCAATCCCCCCGTCGTCGTCGGCCCCGCTCACTTCCCTCGCCGAGTCGCTGTCCATGGCGGTAACCACCGTGCCTCCCCTGCCATCGCCCAGTCGTCGCTATCGCGCTCGCCCTTCCTCTGCCTCTCATCGCCCCTCCTCTCTCCCTTCCCATTACTCACCTTGTTGCTATCGCGCTCATGCAAAATCTCCCGCACATTCCTCTCTCCCTTCCCTTCTCTCGCTCTCTCCCATCACTGCCCATCACATCTCTATCCCCCCTCGCTTGCCGCATCCTCGCTATCTCCTTTCGCTGCCCGTCACCTCTCTCTCCCGTCGCCCGGGCTCATCATCATGTCGGGGAGCTCGGCGGACGGGCAGGCGGCGGTGACGCTCTGCGACCAGCTGGCGGAGATGGTGCCCGCCGCGCAAACCACGTGCGTCACGGACTCGGTTTTCTTCGTCGGACAGTGCGCGCTCGCGGTTGATGTTGCGCTGGCTCCCCATGTGCGTGCGCTAGCGCTAGCGCTTCCTCTTTCAGTCACGCAGTAGCATAGCATAGCTTGAAAAGCCAGATTTTTACTGGCCAAGGCACGTGCCGTAACTATCGACCTAGCTCACATGCCAAATATATTAGCTTAGTATGAATCGTCACCCTCTCACCCGCCCTCACGTTCTCCCGTTTTACAACTCTATCTCCTTTTTCTATACGCCCTCTCACTCTCAACTCTCGTCGCCGTCTAGTTCTCCCTCTGCTATAGCGTTACCGTGTCCCATATCGGATTCTGTTTTTGTTTTAGTTTTACTTTTTGTTTGTTTTTTTCTTCATGCAGTTAATCCATCCATTCCCGTCGCCATCGCTCTCTCCCCTTTCTTCCCGTCGCCCTCGCTCTCTCCCCTCTACTCCCGTCACCCTCGCTCTCTGCCCTCCCTTCCCGTCGCCCTCGCTCTCTCCCTCCCCTTCCCGTCGCCCTCGCTCTCTCCCCTCCATTCCCGTCGCCATCGCTCTCTCCCCTCCCTTCCCGTTGCCCTCGCTCTCTCCCCTCCACTCCCGTCGTCGCCCTCGCTCTCTGCCCTCCATTCCGTCGCCCTCGCTCTCTCCCTCCCCGTCCCGTCGCCATCGCTCTCTCCCCTCCCTTCCCGTCGCCCTCGCTCTCTCCCCTCCATTCCCGTCGCCATCGCTCTCTCCCCTCCCTTCCCGTCGCCCTCGCTCTCTCCCCTCCATTTCCGTCGCCCTCGCTCTCTCCGTTCCCTTCCCGTCGCCATCGCTCTCTCCCCTCCTTTCCCGTCGCCCTCGATGCAGTCGTCGTGCTCTTCGCGCCCTTCCTCCCTGCCCTCCCATCACCCTACCTCTTTCCGCGATTTTTCCTTCACTTATATCTCTCCTCATGCCCTCGTTTCCGTCGCCTATTCTCGTTCTTCTCTGGTCACCTAGCTAACTCTCCGTTTTTTCCCTCCTTTTTGTTCCTCGATGCTGTTTCTGCCACCTTTGCAGGTTTTTGTCTAAGGCGTTTTGCTGTGCGTGCATTGCACTACTGTGAAATTGGCATTGGATGTGAATGAGACTTGCGTGTCGCAAACTTGCGACACATATACAGTGCCAAAGCTTGCGACGCTTTTTGCTGGATAAAGTATGCTTGCGACGCTTTTTGCTTTCTTCCCATCAAACGCGTTTGACAAAAAAAAAAAAACATAACACCCAACTTTCAAGTGGACCCAACTAGAAGGGGGGGGGTCACTATTTTAGCTGCTGGCTTTAACTTTAGTCCCACCCCCACCAACACAAGCCACACAACAATCAACCATAAATATACACCCTCACTGTGTGATCGTTATACACTCCTATACGTCCTATTGCCACCAACAACTTCTTGCATCCGTCTACAAGCGTTTCAGCCCGTGGATCCGCGCACCTTATTGCGTGGTGGGCCTCCACCTAGTAGCATGTTAACACCCCTTCGAATCCGCTGCCTCAACATCAATGGTATCAATACCCCGGTCAAACGAAATGCCTTGAAACATTGGCTCTCCACCACCCATCCGCGTACTGACATTCTCATCTTAGTGGACACTCGTCTCGCTAAGAACTTACCAAGACTTTCACTCCAACTCCACCCACATTCCTTAGTTCACGCACCCACCCTCTACTCTCTAAATGCAAACGGCCAACAATGCCCGCAACCTGGCGGCATCTCAATTCTATCCTTTAATCGAGCAATCTTCCTCACCTCCCCGTCCCCCTCTGCCGATGGTCGTCTCCTATCCGTTCACGTTAATTTCTTACATGAGCAACTGCGCCTCATCACTATCTATGCCCCGATACACGCCACTGATCGACGGGTCTAGTGGAGATCCATTCTGACACCTGCATTGGAACAACCCACTGCTGCAGCGGCCACGATCCTTGCCGGTGACTTTAACTTGGTCATTTCCCCTTTAGACCGTAACCGTCCGCTACATGGCCATGAAATCAGCGAGGCCACCATGATGTCCAATCTCCTGCTGACGCACGCTTTATCCGACGTGTACCGCTCACTCCACCCTGTCACCCCGGTTTTCTCCTTCCTTGGCCGCCGGATCATTGCCGGTACAGCTCTCCCGCCCTCCTCTAGACAAGACAGAATCTACCTCTCTAGCTCATTCATCCCACGGACTTCTGATTCCTCTTACCTCTGGACCCCGGACGACGTTTCTGATCACTCCTTCGCCCCCATCTTCACCCTCACATTCGACAACCCGGCCATGGCACCGCGACCATGGCGGTTTAGCTCCTCCCTCCTCCCTCGGCCCCAAGTCGCTGCCATTATCGACTCTCACCTCCCTACCCTGCCTCCACGCCCCTCCCCTGATGCATGGGATTCATGGAAACTGACCCTCACCCTTAACCTTAAGCGTTTCTCAAAGCACGAGCGCAAACGGGTCATAGGCACTATTGACCACCTCGTACAACTCATCAGCCACCTTCAACTCCAATCCGCCCTCTCCCCTCTGGACAATGAAGCAGCCGCACTCCTCCTCAATGCCCGCCTACAACTAACAAGATATGAGGCATCTAAAACAGCTGAGATCGCTCTAAAAGCTAAGCTCAAAGTCGAGGGTCACAGGGAGATGGGTACCTCCTCCTTGCTGGCAGGCCTTAACTCCCGTATCAAAGACTCATTAATCTCCTCGCTTACACTACCAAATGGATAATCCACCTCTGATCTCCACGCCATGACTGCTGAATGCACAAGATTTTTTCAGTCCCTCTACAGCGGAGCAACCTCGGGTGTGCCAAACCCCGCTTTCTGGGCACACATCCCCCCGTCTTCACTCCCTACACGTCTCTTCAACCACCTGCAAGCTCCCTTCTCCCTTCTGGAAATCACCCGGGCCATAGGGCAACTATCTCGCGGCAAAACTCCCGGCCCTGACGGCATCCCGGGCGAGCTTTTCCGACAATACAAAACCCGTTTTGCTCCTGCCTTCTTCTCGCTTTTCTCCTCACCGCTCACCGCCGCCTCCCTGCCGCCGTCCATGCTTTCAGGTCGCACTGTCCTCATTCCTAAGATGGGAAATTTCTCCTTGGTAGAAAACCTCCGCCCTATTACCCTCATGAACTCAGACTATAAGGTACTAGCCCTCTGCCTCGCCAACCGGCTGCAACTCGCTCTACCTTTGATTATCCACCCCTCTCAGACCGCGTTTATTAAAAACAGGAGGATTGGTGACACGATCAATGATACCCTCGACATATTTGATTGGAGCACTACCACTAAGACCCCCCTGCTTGCCTTAACTATTGATTTCCGCAAAGCCTATGACCTGGTTGACCGCGCCTTTCTTTTCCATACGATTGCTACGCTGGGACTTCCTGAGCACTTCATCGCCTGGGTCCGCCTCATGCACACCAATACCTCCACCCGCATCTCTGTTAACAATCTTGCCGGGCCCACGTTCCCTGTTCGAACGGGGGTACGACAGGGATGCCCTCTCGCCCCCCTCCTATTTGTGTGTGTCATCGAAATCTTTCAACGCTACCTATCCCTCTTCCTCCCAGGGTTTCCCCTCTCTACGACGCAACGCCGACTTATAGCTTGCTACGCTGATGACGTCACCATTTTCCTCTCCTCCGTTAGAGAGCTTGGGACCACGCTCATACACCTCCGGACCTTCGCCGCCGTCTCTGGAGAACACCCCAACTGGAACAAATGCTCAATCATCCCCTTCTTCATTGCTCCAGAACAGATCATCCTTGCTGGCCCCATTCCCATTCGCACTCCTCAAGAGGCAGAACGTATCCTTAGTGTTTATGTTGAACAAGCACAACCAGGCGCCACTACCTGGTCCATGACCCTCTCTCGTGTTCAACGTACGGCTAAGCTCCTTGCCGCCCTTCGTGCCACAGCTACCTGCCGCAAGTCACTTGCATCGGTTTTCTTAAACTCCATTCTCTCTTTCCCTGGCCGCTTTCAAACCCCCTCCTCCGATATTATTCAACGGCTTGACGTCCTGGTCGGGAACTTCCTTTCTTCCTCTTGTTTCAAAGAACACGGCCTTGCGGTCCGCCTCATCCCCAATCGCCTCCTGTACAATTCCACCCGTCATGGAGGCCTCGGGGCGATCGCTCCTTCCACCCAAATCCGCGCTCTAGCCTCTCATCGTGCGCTTCGTCGCTTGGCGCCTCACCATCAGAGGAAGTGGCGAGAGCCGCCGTCTGCCTCCCTTTTGGCACACACTGTCTCTTAGCGCACCCTGCTATCCTCCAATCAGGCATTCTTCCAGAGGTCGTCCCGAGTCGAGCGCTCGCCGAATCGCACGCAGTGATAGAACTCTCCCCGGATATCTCCCCGCCTCGCCTCGTCCCTATGTGTATTATGGCCGAGCCTACCGCCTTCAATCGTTTTATTCTCAAACCGAACGGGAAGCCCTTTGGAATTCTGTCGCGTGAACGCTTCTTCCTAGCCATGCAGATTCGTGTCGGTCACCTTATCTCGCTTATCTTTCACTCACTTGGTGTGGTCTCCTTTAATCATTTTACCTCCAAGTTTCCCCTCGCCAACTCCTCTGCTGGACGGAGAGTCTGGCGAGACCTTGTCCGTGCCATCCCCAAGCCGTGGTGGTCAGCTGTTCGCTCCCCTCCTCCCCCCTCGGCAACCCTCGGGGAGTGGTTCGTCCCCAAATATGACTCTGATTCCTCCCCCACTCTTGCTTTCCAGGTCACGGCCTTCTCTCCTCCGTCATCTCTCTCAGCCTCACTTCACCGTGTCCTTCCCAACTGGCTCATCGTCCGCTCGCCGTTCGGAGATGGCACCTTCAACATTGGTGACCTTTGCGCAGTGCATGTCGTTGGGTCCTGGCTTGCAGGCCCCTTCTATACAGGTGCAGGGCTCGGCGCGCGGCTCGACATCCTACAGGATGGTAGCCCAAGTGTAGCTGACATCCGTCGCCGCCTCTACACTCAGCTTCCACTTGACCATGCCGCCTGCTGGATCCACGTCCTCCCAGTCCCTCCTCCTCTCATCCCTGACTTCTCCCACGATTTTTTACGCGAGCAACCCAGTCTCCAACGCGATGTCTTGTACCGGTTCTATACTCGCGCTCTTCCTTCGGGGTCGCGTTTCAACTTTGCCGCCGATCGAGGGATTTGTTCACTCTGCACTGCCGCACCCACAGAAACTATCTCCCACATCATCTACGAGTGCGGGGTGGCCCCTGTAGTGATTTCTGCTCTCTCTTCCGTCGCTCGTCGTCACCTTCGCTGCTCTCCTCCTCCTGAGCTCTTGCTCTTTCCACTCGCCTCTAGAGCTGGCCAGGTGGCCCCCTGGAGCCTCTTGGTTGGTGCATCTGCAAAAGCCATTTGGAACGCGCGCTGCGAACACAAGTTCCAAGACTCACCATCCTCCCGGTTTGAGATTTTCCAACTCATCCTAGCACAGTTCCTCATTGCATTCAAAATCTTTCTCTGGCGAAGGAAGAAACAATCAAGTAAAAAACAACGACGCTCAGCCGCTCGTATCACGCTGGCCACTAAATTCCGCTTCCTCGTTTTTGACCACGACGGCACCCCTTCTATTCACCCTGACCTCCGCGCATCCTGGCTGCTTGACGACCCTTTTCGCCCCCCTTAGGCCTTTTTTTTAGCATAGAGAGCTCCCCAGCCGTGCTGGTGGTTATCCATAGGATATGGAGATAACGTGTTTCATACGTACGCCTTTGGGCGTTTGGTTTGTGTAGACCATATCTCTAGCTGCTCTATGCTTTGCTGTACATGGTTACGACCACTATATAACCTTAACCTTAACCCGTTTTGCCTCTGAGGAGATGTTTGGTCGAGGTAATGATTAGGCCGGCCTTTAGTTTAGGGTGCGCTTTGGGGATGTTGGTGGTAGTTTGGCTTCCCGCCTTGTTTTGGCGCGAGGGCGGAAACCCGAGCCATCGCAGGGGTTTCTATCGCGCGGGCGGGAAAGTAACCTTGTCGCACGGGGGTCGCAACAGTCGCATGGAGTCGTAGACCATTTCCCGCCCGTTTTCTCCCACCGTGGGATAAATTTTGACGATGGGGTCACCCTGCTATCGAACAGGGCCTTAGGCAGACTGTTTATTGAAATCAGCCCTCGCGCTAATCAAGAACGCGTTCCCCAGAATGACATGCCAGCACGACAAACGCCGTGGTCTCCTTACGACGCGCCCCTGACATTGGGAGTTCCCGCGCGATGCTTTCCATGCCAACATCGTGCCATGTTTGGCTCGGATCGGAGCAACAAGATCGCTTCCCCAAATGCTGCCCGTCTAGGTGTTACCGTGTTTCATCCATCCTCCTAAACTTTCTAAAAACATGTATTCTTCACTCCTCGAGGCAATCCGCACAAGTAACTTTAGCGCTAAACTGTTGTTGTGCAACCCTTTGCAGCTTTGAAGCTTTTGGAAAATCTCGTTTCAAAATACGAGGGAGGCAAGGAGAGCCTGGATTCGTGTACTGTAGTTCGTGCATCCTCGAAACGCTGGATGTTCCACCAGCAAACCAAAAAGTGTGCTTTCTTTGGTGAGTTTGCAGGAAGGATATTCCAAGTTGATGCTTGCACCATGTATTGAGAGAGTTTTGCTCAATCCCGCGGAATCGCGGTTCGTTTTATTATCGCCACGTGGCATGCCTTCGATCGCGTGAACCGCGATCTGTTTTATTGTTATCACAAACTTCCACAGAAAATTAGTTAAGTTCTGTACTGCGCTGCCCGCGGGCAAAAATAAAACCCATTTGGGCCTGGCATGCGTTAGAGAGGCATCAACCCTGAACACCTTGCCTCTAGGTGTTTAGGGTTGATGCATCCCTAACGCATGCCTTACCTATAGGGGTTTTATTTTTGCGCGCGGGCAGCGCAGTACAGAACTTAACTAAATTTCTCTTGAAGTACGTGGCAAAAAAAAATCAAACCGCGCATCCGCGGGATTGAGCAAAAGTCTCATGTATTGACTCGTTGACATCGATTTCATCGCACGCGCGTGCAAGAGCGTTGGGTTCGTCGCGGCTCGTGACCATACGAGTGTTTATGTCTTGCGTGCCTGAGCGTCCGGCGTGACGACCATACGAGTGTTTCCGTCTTGCATTAGCGGACAAGTCTTGTGAGCATACTGCTTTCCTCCTCCGTCCACCATCTTCTCACAGAGAAATCGCGATGCTCGCACGATATAGAGCTTGCGAAGAAGGGAAATGTGTATATGGAATCTGAGCGAGAGGATTGAAGTTACGAGACGTCGTAAGCAAGCGACTGCCTGTTTGGTAGACTCGCGTAGGTGGTATTTTCGTGACGACAGTAGATGCAACTGCGTCGCATTAAATTCAAAACAAAACACACAGACATCCACTTTTCTTCCCGTACGTTCTCTCAGCTTGATGAGATTATCGTCACTCTAGCTCTCAACTTATGAAGGGCTCATCTGGTCCCGTAACAATCCAAGTTTGCCGCCAACGGCTCGCTAACGCCTTCGCTAAACAACCTTCAAGCAATCACCACGGTGCCTACCTCCGGGACAGTTATTTTGTACCGTGTTCCCTTGAGACTCGTTCTGTAACGTGTAGCTTGAGACGAGTTCCGTACGGCGGTTGATTCGAGAGCCTCTTCCCCCATGGTCCTTTTTAAACCCACTCATAGCACCATATAATAGTATTCCAAAGCTACCACCTTTACCCGATTTCTACTATCCTCCTATCCCATTCCCCCGTCTCTGAGGGTCACGCTATTGTATCTGCCCCCATCACACTAGCCTCCCTTCCTTCCGCATCCTCGGCCCCTCCCCTTCCCCACCCCCACCATCACGGGCGCGCATCTCCTCCCCCGTTTCCTCCTCCGCCAATCCCCCAGCCCCCTCTGCAACCCTCTGCTTCCGCCCGGCCACAGTTCCCCCATCTCAAATTTACTGAATCATTTTACATAACGTAGATATACTTGCAACATAACATTCAGTATGCAAAAAGTATGGGTCATTAGGGGAACCATAAAGTAGCATGCGTCGTATGTATTTAGTATGCTTGTTTACATATTAAAAAGTAGTGCACAAACGGTAGGCAAATAGTGAGTAAGTTGAATACAAATAGTAAAGACCAAACAGTTGCATTTTATTACCTTTATCGTTTCCATTTGATATGTCTCACTGTTTACAAACAGTGGCCAATAGGTAGGTTTCTGATTTCCTTATTTTATTGCATTCTATTTAGGTTTTGGTATTGCCAAAATACACTATTAAACCCACCAAACAATACTTCATACTCTACCATCACAATGCTGAAATGTTGCGCTCTCATGAGCGCACATTATTGCCAAATAGCAGTCAACATCTCCACACCACCACGACTCCATGCACTCAATACCCATCATCCTCATCATCCCCATTATCCAGCCAAGCGTCATCTTGATCACCTTCGTCATCATGATCTGCCTCCTGCTGCTGACGTCCTTTCTTCGCATCATCCTTCGTGGCCTGCATCCGGCAATACTTCACCAACATCTCCACTTCATCCTTGTCCCTCTGGTCAGGATCTGCGCCATCGGGGATGTGATTCGGAAAGCCACTCCCCGAGATGACGACGACCCCTGTCGGCCCAAATACCCACCCTTGGTGATGGTCATCCCAGGACGGCAGCTGGTCGTCGGGTGTCTCATCCAGATATGACTTGATCGTCGTCTTCACCTTCCTGTGAAGCGAGAGAATTTGGTCGTGATTGACGCATGCATCGGTGGAGATTTTCTTTCCGTTGGAGGTGTGATGCTGGATGTCGTGCTCGACCTGCCAAACATTGGGGAGAGGGTGGGATGGCAAAAAACACCATGAACAGCGCTACAGACTTGGGTGGCTGGGTAGTACAAATTCAGAAAACAGCGACAAGTGCAGCATAGAAGGTGGCTGGACGTACGACACCTGGAACCAAACCTATCCGGATCAGGGTAAGGGCAGAGGGGAACAATTCAGTGCTAAAGGGCAGCAATCAATGTCACAACATGGGTCAAATTAAAGCACACATGGTGTATCAGGGTAGGAGCAAAAGGTATAGTGAGTTTGAAGAAGGGCAGCAGTGAAGGCACACAGAAAGGGGGGCCTCAAGCGAGGCAAAGGAGGGCTGTCAGTGCACCATCAGCATTCGGAAAATAAGCCGCAGTAAGGGCACAACCAAGAGCATGCAAGGGGGATTAGGCGGAAGGGGAGAGGGGACTTGAGGGTGAGCCAAACATGCAGCAGTGAACGCCCCTGCACAAGGGGCAGCCAATAGCAAACGGGGGAATTAGGAGGAAAGGGAGAGGGGGATTGAGGGTGAGCCAAACGTGCAGCAGTGAACGCCCCTGCACAAGGGGCAGCCAATAGCACACGGGGGGATTAGGAGGAAAGGGAGAGGGGGATTGAGGGTGAGCCAAACGTGCAGCAGTGAACGCCCCTGCACAAGGGGCAGCCAACAGCACACGGGGGGATTAGGAGGAAAGGGAGAGGGGGATTGAGGGTGAGCCAAACGTGCAGCGGTGAACGCCCCTGCACAAGGGGCAGCCAACAGCACACGGGGGGACTGGGCGGAAAGGGAGAGGGGGATTGAGGGTGAGCCAAACGTGCAGCGGTGAACGCCCCTGCACAAGGGGCAGCCAACAGCACACGGGGGGATTGGGAGGAAGGGGAGAGGGGGATTGAGGGTGAGCCAAACGTGCAGCAGTGAACGCCCCTGCACAAGGGGCAGCCAACAGCACACGGGGGGATTGGGAGGAAGGGGAGAGGGGGATTGAGGGTGAGCCAAACGTGCAGCAGTGAACGCCCCTGCACAAGGGGCAGCCAACAGCACACGGGGGGATTGGGAGGAAGGGGAGAGGGGGATTGAGGGTGAGCCAAACGTGCAGCAGTGAACGCCCCTGCACAAGGGGCAGCCAACAGCACACGGGGGGATTGGGCGGAAGGGGAGAGGGGGATTGAGGGTGAGCCAAACGTGCAGCAGTGAACGCCCCTGCACAAGGGGCGGCCAACAGCACACCGGGGGATTGGGAGGAAGGGGAGAGGGGGATTGAGGGTGAGCCAAACGTGCAGCAGTGAACGCCCCTGCACAAGGGGCGGCCAACAGCACACGGGGGGATTGGGCGGAAGGGGAGAGGGGGATTGAGGGTGAGCCAAACGTGCAGCAGTGAACGCCCCTGCACAAGGGGCAGCCAACAGCACACGGGGGGATTGGGCGGAAGGGGAGAGGGGGATTGAGGGTGAGCCAAACGTGCAGCAGTGAACGCCCCTGCACAAGGGGCAGCGAACAGCACACGGGGGGATTGGGCGGAAGGGGAGAGGGGGATTGAGGGTGAGCCAAACGTGCAGCAGTGAACGCCCCTGCACAAGGGGCAGCCAACAGCACACGGGGGGGTTGGGCGGAAGGGGAGAGGGGGATTGAGGGTGAGCCAAACGTGCAGCAGTGAACGCCCCTGCACAAGGGGCGGCCAACAGCACACGGGGGGATTGGGAGGAAGGGGAGAGGGGGATTGAGGGTGAGCCAAACGTGCAGCAGTGAACGCCCCTGCACAAGGGGCGGCCAACAGCACACGGGGGGTTTGGGAGGAAGGGGAGAGGGGGATTGAGGGTGAGCCAAACGTGCAGCAGTGAACGCCCCTGCACAAGGGGCGGCCAACAGCACACGGGGGGATTGGGAGGAAGGGGAGAGGGGGATTGAGGGTGAGCCAAACGTGCAGCAGTGAACGCCCCTGCACAAGGGGCGGCCAACAGCACACGGGGGGATTGGGAGGAAGGGGAGAGGGGGATTGAGGGTGAGCCAAACGTGCAGCAGTGAACGCCCCTGCACAAGGGGCGGCCAACAGCACACGGGGGGATTGGGAGGAAGGGGAGAGGGGGATTGAGGGTGAGCCAAACGTGCAGCAGTGAACGCCCCTGCACAAGGGGCGGCCAACAGCACACGGGGGGATTGGGAGGAAGGGGAGAGGGGGATTGAGGGTGAGCCAAACGTGCAGCAGTGAACGCCCCTGCACAAGGGGCGGCCAACAGCACACGGGGGGATTGGCCGGAAGGGGAGAGGGGGATTGAGGGTGAGCCAAACGTGCAGCAGTGAACGCCCCTGCACAAGGGGCGGCCAACAGCACACGGGGGGATTGGGCGGAAGGGGAGAGGGGGATTGAGGGTGAGCCAAACGTGCAGCAGTGAACGCCCCTGCACAAGGGGCGGCCAACAGCACACGGGGGGATTGGGCGGAAGGGGAGAGGGGGATTGAGGGTGAGCCAAACGTGCAGCAGTGAACGCCCCTGCACAAGGGGCAGCCAACAGCACACGGGGGGATTGGGCGGAAGGGGAGAGGGGGATTGAGGGTGAGCCAAACGTGCAGCAGTGAACGCCCCTGCACAAGGGGCAGCCAACAGCACACGGGGGGGTTGGGCGGAAGGGGAGAGGGGGATTGAGGGTGAGCCAAACGTGCAGCAGTGAACGCCCCTGCACAAGGGGCAGCCAACAGCACACGGGGGGATTGGGCGGAAGGGGAGAGGGGGATTGAGGGTGAGCCAAACGTGCAGCAGTGAACGCCCCTGCACAAGGGGCAGCCAACAGCACACGGGGGGGTTGGGCGGAAGGGGAGAGGGGGATTGAGGGTGAGCCAAACGTGCAGCAGTGAACGCCCCTGCACAAGGGGCAGCCAACAGCACAAGGGGGGGTTGGGCGGAAGGGGAGAGGGGGATTGAGGGTGAGCCAAACGTGCAGCAGTGAACGCCCCTGCACAAGGGGCGGCCAACAGCACACGGGGGGGTTGGGCGGAAGGGGAGAGGGGGATTGAGGGTGAGCCAAACGTGCAGCAGTGAACGCCCCTGCACAAGGGGCGGCCAACAGCACACGGGGGGGTTGGGCGGAAGGGGAGAGGGGGATTGAGGGTGAGCCAAACGTGCAGCAGTGAACGCCCCTGCACAAGGGGCGGCCAACAGCACACGGGGGGGGTTGGGAGGAAGGGGAGAGGGGGATTGAGGGTGAGCCAAACGTGCAGCAGTGAACGCCCCTGCACAAGGGGCGGCCAACAGCACACGGGGGGATTGGGAGGAAGGGGAGAGGGGGATTGAGGGTGAGCCAAACGTGCAGCAGTGAACGCCCCTGCACAAGGGGCGGCCAACAGCACACGGGGGGATTGGGCGGAAGGGGAGAGGGGGATTGAGGGTGAGCCAAACGTGCAGCAGTGAACGCCCCTGCACAAGGGGCGGCCAACAGCACACGGGGGGATTGGGCGGAAGGGGAGAGGGGGATTGAGGGTGAGCCAAACGTGCAGCAGTGAACGCCCCTGCACAAGGGGCGGCCAACAGCACACGGGGGGATTGGGAGGAAGGGGAGAGGGGGATTGAGGGTGAGCCAAACGTGCAGCAGTGAACGCCCCTGCACAAGGGGCGGCCAACAGCACACGGGGGGGTTGGGCGGAAGGGGAGAGGGGGATTGAGGGTGAGCCAAACGTGCAGCAGTGAACGCCCCTGCACAAGGGGCGGCCAACAGCACACGGGGGGATTGGGAGGAAGGGGAGAGGGGGATTGAGGGTGAGCCAAACGTGCAGCAGTGAACGCCCCTGCACAAGGGGCGGCCAACAGCACACGGGGGGATTGGGAGGAAGGGGAGAGGGGGATTGAGGGTGAGCCAAACGTGCAGCAGTGAACGCCCCTGCACAAGGGGCGGCCAACAGCACACGGGGGGATTGGGAGGAAGGGGAGAGGGGGATTGAGGGTGAGCCAAACGTGCAGCAGTGAACGCCCCTGCACAAGGGGCGGCCAACAGCACACGGGGGGATTGGGAGGAAGGGGAGAGGGGGATTGAGGGTGAGCCAAACGTGCAGCAGTGAACGCCCCTGCAAAAGGGGCGGCCAACAGCACACGGGGGGATTGGGAGGAAGGGGAGAGGGGGATTGAGGGTGAGCCAAACGTGCAGCAGTGAACGCCCCTGCACAAGGGGCGGCCAACAGCACACGGGGGGATTGGGAGGAAGGGGAGAGGGGGATTGAGGGTGAGCCAAACGTGCAGCAGTGAACGCCCCTGCACAAGGGGCGGCCAACAGCACACGGGGGGATTGGGAGGAAGGGGAGAGGGGGATTGAGGGTGAGCCAAACGTGCAGCAGTGAACGCCCCTGCACAAGGGGCGGCCAACAGCACACGGGGGGTTGGGAGGAAGGGGAGAGGGGGATTGAGGGTGAGCCAAACGTGCAGCAGTGAACGCCCCTGCACAAGGGGCGGCCAACAGCACACGGGGGGATTGGGAGGAAGGGGAGAGGGGGATTGAGGGTGAGCCAAACGTGCAGCAGTGAACGCCCCTGCACAAGGGGCGGCCAACAGCACACGGGGGGATTGGGAGGAAGGGGAGAGGGGGATTGAGGGTGAGCCAAACGTGCAGCAGTGAACGCCCCTGCACAAGGGGCGGCCAACAGCACACGGGGGGATTGGGAGGAAGGGGAGAGGGGGATTGAGGGTGAGCCAAACGTGCAGCAGTGAACGCCCCTGCACAAGGGGCGGCCAACAGCACACGGGTGGATTGGGAGGAAGGGGAGAGGGGGATTGAGGGTGAGCCAAACGTGCAGCAGTGAACGCCCCTGCACAAGGGGCGGCCAACAGCACACGGGGGGATTGGGAGGAAGGGGAGAGGGGGATTGAGGGTGAGCCAAACGTGCAGCAGTGAACGCCCCTGCACAAGGGGCGGCCAACAGCACACGGGGGGTTGGGAGGAAGGGGAGAGGGGGATTGAGGGTGAGCCAAACGTGCAGCAGTGAACGCCCCTGCACAAGGGGCGGCCAACAGCACACGGGGGGATTGGGAGGAAGGGGAGAGGGGGATTGAGGGTGAGCCAAACGTGCAGCAGTGAACGCCCCTGCACAAGGGGCGGCCAACAGCACACGGGGGGATTGGGAGGAAGGGGAGAGGGGGATTGAGGGTGAGCCAAACGTGCAGCAGTGAACGCCCCTGCACAAGGGGCGGCCAACAGCACACGGGGGGATTGGGCGGAAGGGGAGAGGCGGATTGAGGGTGAGCCAAACGTGCAGCAGTGAACGCCCCTGCACAAGGGGCAGCCAACAGCACACGGGGGGATTGGGCGGAAGGGGAGAGGCGGATTGAGGGTGAGCCAAACGTGCAGCAGTGAACGCCCCTGCACAAGGGGCAGCCAACAGCACACGGGGGGATTGGGCGGAAGGGGAGAGGCGGATTGAGGGATTGAGGGTAGAGGTTTAAGTTTGAAGCCACATATAAAGCTTGAGTGTTGGGGGGCGGGCCAGAGCGTCAAAGGACAGCAGCAAAGGCTGCATAAGGGGCAGCGGAGAGCACACAGGCGGGATTGAGGAGATGGTCATTGTACATTCATTAGTGCGTCAATGGGCAGCTGTGAATTCCCTTACACGAGCTACAACTGGAGCAGAGGCTAAGGAAATGAGGGGAGCTGTGACCGGCAAGGACGGCAAAAAGAAGGGCATAGGTGAACTTTGAGTAGAGGAAACCAGATGGCAATGTGTGGGTTTGGGGCCTATCAAAAACAAGATGTATGCAATGTGAAAGGCCTTCACGACAGTCGCAACTCCACCGACACCCTTCTGAAATGAGTTCCGGATCATGATGTCAAACAGCCCCGTTGCAAAGGGGCGATTCAGCTCGTCATCCCAGTGCCAACGTAGCATGCCACCCTTGACTGCAAAAAATACGGGATGCACGAAGAGGTATTGGCCATTGGATTAGAAAGGGCATGGGGTGGAGCAAAGGAAGGGCAGAAAGGAATCGTTTATTGCACCAACGGGTAGCAATAACGACAGCCACATGTGCACAGCTAGGAGCAGACAGAGTGGTCAGAGGTACAACCGGGGAAATGAGGGCGTCGGGGAGGGCAGATGGGAATACAATATATACGACATATGATACATGTGCAACATATGTATCAAAGACAAATGTTGATGGTAAGGCACATACCTAGGGGCTTCACGCCCTCCAACTCGTACACTTTCCTCAAGGTCCGCTGCTCATCAGAAACAAGCTCGCTGTAATCGTACTTGAGCCGCGGATTTGCATCGCATGAGAGACCGAACGCATCGTAGACCACTTTCCGCCCGTTCATTGACAAGCGACCTCGCCAGTCATTCAGCTTCTTCTTGGCCACGCCCGCACGCGTCGTGCAATAAGTCATCACGGACACGACGGCATCGCGGTAGTCCTCTCCCCACACCTTGACCAGACACTCCGTGATAAGCCAGTCGAATGGGTACATGGTCGTCTCGTCATTAGGCTGATAGAACAGCGCAATCTGCACAGCTGTTTCCATCTTTTTCTGTTGGGAATGGAGGGAATCAAAATGTAGGTACAGAAATAACTGCCACAAGACATGCCGTACTGGGATGATACAAGGACAAGGGTAGATTCTGAGATCGCAGACACATTGGAGAGCAAGAAAGATAACAAATCCATAAGATACACAAGCATTAGAAAATCACTCACTCACGCTCCAAGGCTTTCCAGCGGCTGGAAGCTTGCACATGAGCTCCTGGTCTCGGCGCGGAATCGCGTCACCCGGTGCAAATAGCAGTTGGCGACGGTGCTTGCTGTCCCTTACCACGGGGTACTTGCGCTTGCAAAGTACCACCACCTTTCCAGCAGGGGCTTCAGGCTTCTCCAGGCCACGCTTGGAGATTAGAGCTGCCGGGCGTTGTATCGCAGAAGCCACACGTGGAGCAACATCAGGGGTTCGCGGAGCCGCCAACTGTTTTTCATTGACGTTCGATGCACCCGCGTACTTAGCAGCACCTCGCACTTCGTGTGAAGATCCTCCCCCCCCGCTATTCATCTGCCGCTGAAGACGCTCATACCGTAGGTTCTGTTCCCGAAGCTGTCACTTCAAACGCTCTACCTCATTCTCTTCACTGCCCTGGTGGATCGAGGGAGACGGGTTGCCCATAGGTGAAGAAAGCCCGTTTACGGCGCCCAATGGGCTCTCCTCAGCGCGTTCCAGTCGTTTCACACGCTCCTCCTCATCGTTTATTGCTGCCACAGACGCTGTCTTTTTCGCACCTGCCAACAGGATCGAGTGTGGAATGGTCGCACAGAAAAGGGTCTCCTGTAAGCAAGGATGAATTCTTATGGGGAACGTGCCACATTATTCGAGGGTGGCGGAAAATTTCCCGTTACAGAGTGGTAGGGCGTGAGATAGGGTAGCTGTCTTACCTTTGGACTTGCATGCATCGTTCTCGGGACGAGTTGTTTCGTGATCCCCATCTTCATCATCTTCAAAGTCGTCCTCTGCCACAATCTCGCCTATCTTCGCATTGGCCTCTCGCTCGTCTTCCAGAGATTCGGCGACTTGGTCCGCTTTTGGTGCGGGTTCGTCGGTCTTCATTTGCACTGTATGCAAGAGCAGCTCGAGGTTGAAACTCTATGAATGGAATCCAGAAATGAAATCAATAAGCCTCAATGCTGCTGAGTTAGCGGTAAGCGTTTTAATTTGTAGCGGCATTACTTTAGCGAGGATTTGCAGCGGACTACTAGGGGTTGAGTTCCTTCGATTTGAAATCCCAACTTCCGCCAGCACGGCATCGTCGATGGAAGGTCCATAGCTCCTCCAACGCGACGCGCCGATACCAGACTTCACATCGACGTTCTAGTAACGGGATCGTCGTAGGCTCTCGCGACACGAGTGTATTCCACTTTTGGACGATCATCTTGCTGCTCGAGTTTATATATCGGCTGCGCCATGTCTATTTTACCGTTTAGGCACACAATGGCTGTTGGGAGAGTAGTTAGGATTCTAATGTCAGGCCTGATTCTGTGCGAATGGTGCGCCGCGATACTTGGGACTTATCGACTCCTATCTGTACATCAAGCCTCCCTCCTGCGTTGTCGCATAGAACGGGCGCGCTACAAGGACGCAGGTTACTCTCGTGGCCCTTACCATTTCGACGAGAATGGCGACATCGTTAAGGACCCTGTACCGTCATGTTGCAATGCGAAGCGTCGGAGAACCGCAGCGCCTGAGCCCGAGATGACAGAGCCTATAACGGTACCTGTTTCGCCAGATCCGCCGCCCGTCCCGGTAAGCACTGCACCCGACGATCTGGACGAGCTCGATGTAGACGAAATGGACGTACCACGAACCATTTGGTTACCTGAACCTTCTTTCGAGACACGCAAGGAGGTTATGCTGCTCATGCAGTCGTTCAACGAAGGTCAAGGAATGACAGTTGAGCAAAGCAAACACTTTTTGACTGTGATGTCGCATCCCGATCTTCGACCGGAGGAATTGGCTGGGTGGAAAAGCATCAAAGACTCTCAAAAATGGGCAGCAGACAACTGGGGAAGCAAGGCTACCGAGTGGACGACGACAATGGTCGAGGTTCCTGGCGTAACGGAGAACGGGCGTCCCCTTCTCGTGCCGCTCAAGCATGCAAACACTCTCAAGGTGAGAGAACCGTGTTGTTCACAGGTGGCTATTTTATGTACGTACCCTTATATGTTCCTACCCTTCTATGTTCCTACCCTTCTACTTTCCTACCCTTCTATGTTCCTACCCTTCTCTGTTCTTAACCTTTCTCTGTACCTACCCACCTCTGTTCCTACCCTTTCTCTGCTCCAACCCTTCTCTGCTCCCAACCTTGTCTCTTCCAACCCTTCTATGAACCTACCCTTCTCTGATCCTACCCCTGTTCCAACACTTTTCTGCTTCTACCCTTCTCTGTTCCTAGCCTTCTCTGTTAATACCCTTCTCTGTTACTACCCACCCCTGTTCCTACCCTTCTCTGTACCTACCTTTCTCTCTTCCTAGCATTCTCTGGTCTTACCCTTTTATATTCCTAGTCTTCTCTCTTCCTACCCTTCTCTGTCCCCACCCTTCTCTGTTCCGACCCTAATCTGTTCCTACCATTATCTGTTCCTACCCTTCTCTGTTCCTACCCTTCTCTGGTTTCATCCTTCTCTGTTCCTACCGTTTCGCTCTGTCTACCCTTCACTGTTCCTAGTCTTCTGTATTCCTACCTTTCTCTGCTCCTACCCATCTCTGATCGTACCCTTTTTTGTACCTACCTTTATATGTGTCTACCCTTTTATGCTCCACCTCTGTTCCCACCCTTCTCTGCTCCCACCTTTCTCTCTTCCTACCCTTCTCTGTCCCCACCCTTCTCTGTTCCTACCCTTATTTGTTCCTACCCTTACAAGTTCCTCCCCATCTATGTTTCCTACCCTTATATGTTCCTACCCTTCTCTGATCCTACCCTTCTCTGCTCCCACCCTTTTCTCTTCCTACTCTTCTTTCCTACCCTTCTATGATCCTACCCTCCTCTGTTCCTACCCTTTTCTGACCCATCTATGTTCCTACCCTTATATGTTCCTACCCTTGTTCCTACCCTTCTATGTTCCTCCCCTTCTATGTTCTTCCCACCCTTCTGTTACTTCCTCTCTCTGCTCCTACCCGTCTCTGATCCTACCCTTTTCTGTACCTACCCTTAGTTGTTCCTACCCTTCTATGTTCCTACCCTTCTCTGTTCTTAACCTTTCTCTGTACCTACCCACCTCTGTTCCTACCCTTCTCTGCTCCAACCCTTCTCTGCTCCCACCCTTGTCTCTTCCAACCCTTCTATGTTCCTACCCTTCTCTGTTCTTAACCTTTTTCTGTACCTACCCATCTCTGTTCCTACCCTTCTCTGCTCCAACCCTTCTCTGCTCCCACCCTTGTCTCTTCCAACCCTTCTATGTACCTACCCTTCTCTGTTCTTAACCTTTTTCTGTACCTACCCACCTCTGTTCCTACCCTTCTCTGCTCCAACCCTTCTCTGCTCCCACCCTTGTCTCTTCCAACCCTTCTATGTTCCTACCCTTCTCTGTTCTTAACCTTTCTCTGTACCTACCCACCTCTGTTCCTACCCTTCTCTGCTCCAACCCTTCTCTGCTCCCACCCTTGTCTCTTCCAACCCTTCTATGTACCTACCCTTCTCTGATCCTTCCCCTGTTCCTACACTTTTCTGCTTCTACCCTTCTCTGTTCCTAGTCTTCTCTCTTCCTACCCTTCTCTGTTACTACCCACCCCTGTTCCTACCCTTCTCTGTACCTACCCTTCTCTCTTCCTACCATTCTCTGGTCTTACCCTTTTATATTCCTAGTCTTCTCTCTTCCCACCCTTCTCTTCTCTGTTCCTACTGTTATCTGTCTCTACCCTTATCTTCTCCTACTCTTATCTGATCGTACCCTTCGCTGTTCCTACCCTGCTCTGTTCCTACCCTTCTCTACCCTTCCTGTCCCCTACCCTTCTTTTTTCCTACCCTTACAAGTTCCTCCCCATCTATGTTTCCTCTATATGTTCCTACCCTTCTCTGATCCTACCCTTCTCTGCTCCCACCCTTTTCTCTTCCTACTCTTCTTTCCTACCCTTCTATGATCCTACCCTCCTCTGTTCCTACCCTTTTCTGACCCATTTATGTTCCTACCCTTATATGTTCCTACCCTTGTTCCTACCCTTCTATGTTCCTCCCCTTCTATGTTCTTCCCACCCTTCTGTTCCTTCCTCTCTCTGCTCCTACCCGTCTCTGATCCTACCCTTTTCTGTACTCACCCTTAGATGTTCCTACCCTTCTATGTTCCTACCCTTCTCTGTTCTTAACCTTTCTCTGTACCTACCCACCTCTGTTCCTACCCTTCTCTGCTACCACCTTCTCTCTCCCTACCCTTCTCTGTACCTACCCTTCTCTGATCCTACCCTCCTCCGTTCCTACCATTTTCTGACCCATCTATGTTCCTACCCTTATGTGTTACTACCCTTCTATGCTCCTACCCTTCTCTCTTCCTACCCTCCCTGGTCTTACACTACTCTGTTCCTACCCTTCTCATTTCCTACCCATATCTGTTCCGACCCAACAAGGCTCATACCCCGGCAGTCCTATGCACATATGTTCCAACCATATATGTTTCAGACCTCACGTGTTCCGAGCCGAATGTTTTTGTCATTTGTTGTGCGTACCTACAATCTTACTAGATTGCTCAAGCTCTTTTCGAGGACGTCAAGAATCGGCCAGGGTTTGCCTTGTTTCCGAGCGAAAAGAAGGTTAATGGAAAACGTGTGTACACGCGACCTCAACATTGCAATTGGTGGCTTGAGGCACAGGTATGACCTTACTCGCTAGTGGTGTCTTTTGGGACATTTCATTCACAAATAGTGATGCGCAATCAACCTTTTGTATGGCAGCGAGCTCTTGGATACCCTGATGAGGTTATTGCTGCCCTCATAGTGTACTCTGACGTCACACAGTTGTCTAAAAACGACACACAGAAGGTATGGCCGGTGGTTATCACGTTGGGTAATATCGCTGTCGAGCACCGCTGGAAGCCGAGTGCCAAACAGATGGTGGCTATGTTGCCTATGCCCCGATCGACATGGAGTAGTCATGTGAAGACCCAACTGTATCAGAAGTGTATGCAGATTATTCTACAGCCACTCCTTGATGCCTCTAACAGGTACGATGACTTGGATTTCCTGCTGAAAGTCTAGTAGTTACATGCAACTCATACAGTGTATTATACACTTGTACGTACGATGCAGTTCGACAGGTTGCACGTGGTCGGATCCTTACGGTGATTTGCGGACTGTGTGGCCCCTGTTATATTGCGTTGCTGGGGATTATCCTGAGACGTGCAAGGTGTCCTGCACATTTCAGCACAGCAGCGCGCGCCCTTGTTCGCTATGCTACATCCGAAAGGAAGATCTGGATGATTTGTCAAAGGCCAGCAAGATGCGGAATGTGAAGGAGCAACGCTTCATCATGAACAAGTATAACGCTCTTTCGTGCACGAACAAGACACTCGCGGCAAATTTTGCTAAGAATTGGTCGACATTTCCGGTTCCTGTAAGTGCTGTACATCTTTTGTGTACCGCACACTTTTATAACAACTATGACATGTGTTTGTCACACACCGCTCCACAACGCAATACCATGCGTGGTGAACTTATATTTGATACTTGGATGTATGGTGCCTTACGTTTACTACCACACAGAGTTTCCTCTGGGGGTGGCGTTTCTCCGAGAAGGATTGGGGAAATCCCTATCTTGCCTTGATGCCTGATGTCCTGCACCAAGCTGATGTTGGTGTTTGGACACACATTCGTGAGGCTCTGTCCCAGCTCCCGAAGGCAAAGGACGGTACCTTAGACGCGTAAGTGTTGCTTCATATGGTCCATCCCTCCCCCGTTTCTGCCCAGCAGTGTTCCAACCCACCCTTGGTCCATCCCTCCCCCATTTCTGCCCAGCAGTGTTCCTACCCACCCTTGGTCCATCCCACCCCTGTTTCTGCCCAGCAGTGTTCCTACCCACCCTTGGTCCATCCCACCCCTGTTTCTGCCCAGCAATGTTCCTACCCACCCTTGGTCCATCCCACCCCTGTTTCTGCCCAGCAATGTTCCTACCCACCCGTGGTCCATCCCACCCCTGTTTCTGCCCAGCAATGTTCCTACCCACCCTTGGTCCATCCCACCCCTGTTTCTGCCCAACAATGTTCCTACCCACCCTTGGTCCATCCCACCCCTGTTTCTGACTAGCAATTTGCTCCTGCCCACCCTTGGTCCATCCCGCCCCTGTTTCTGCCCAGCAATGTTCCTACCCAGCCGTGGTCCATCCCACCCCTGTTTCTGCCCAGCTATGTTCCTACCCACCCTTGGTCCATCCCACCCCTGTTTCTGACTAGCAATTTGCTCCTGCCCACCCTTGGTCCATCCCACCCCTGTTTCTGCCCAGCAGTGTTCCTACCCACCCTTGGTCCATCCCACCCCTGTTTCTGCCCAGCAGTGTTCCTACCCACCCTTGGTCCATCCCACCCCTGTTTCTGACTAGCAATGTTCCCACCCACCCTTGGTCCATCCAACCCCTGTGTAAGACTACATGCCCACCATTGCTCCTATCCTCTGCTGTTCCCAGCCACGTATGATCCTTCCCAACTCTGTTCTTGTGTTGTTGAATACAACCCAATCATCATCTTACCCACGCATGTTCTTGTCCACATGTGTTCTACACTTCTGTCCTAAACCCTCCTAGGCCCCATGTGTTTTCAGGCTTGCGATCATCCTCTGTTCCCACCGAACACTGCGTTGTGCCAGGTTCATTGTCCTTATATGACCACATTCATATCCTAGTATGTTCGTATCTAACATGGTTTCAGCCCAGGTACACCCCTACCCTCCAGTTTAACCCCTTATGCCCTTTCCGTGTGGATTGCGTGTGCGCATTGTTGAACCCACATCAGGCGCCACAAATGGATGTGGTTGAACGGTCGCATAGCCGGGCTGAAACTTCCGCAGCCCGGGAATTATTTCACTTCCGCTGCAAGCGTTTCAGCAGCCGAGCACAGAGCCGTGATGCAGGTTGCGATCTTCATTTTGGAGGGGCAGGTGGAGGACAAACACATGGAGGCGGTGAAGGCGTATCTTAGGTGGTACAAAGCAACTTTCCGACCACGATTCCACACAGATGAAAGCCTTTCGAAAGTGCAGACGCTTGCACTTGAGTGAGTACATGCACGTTTGCCTTCAGTGACTACATCCATGATAGGGATTCATGTTGAGCGCGCGGCTTTGTAATCCTTGATTAAAGTGAGCGCAGTTTTGACCATAGCTTGTTCTGTCCAACCCATGTGCCATCCAACCCATGTGCCATCCAACCCATGTGCCATCCAACCCATATGCCATCCAACCCATATGCTAAACCAAGCCCATGTGCCATCCAACCCATATGCTAAACCAAGCCCATGTGCCATCCAACCCATGTGCCATCCAACCCATATGCTAAACCAAGCCCATGTGCCATCCAACCCATATGCTAAACCAAGCCCATGTGCCATCCAACCCATGTGCCCTCCTCCAACCCATGGGTCTTCCAGCCATTGTGCCGTCAAACCCTGGTGCTGTCCAAGCCTTTCAAACGATGGTTTCTTCTTCAGTTAAGCCTTTTTTGTGCGAGCCTGCTGTATTACTATGCCAAAATCCCATGCCAATGGTGGATCTTCCCCTTATCCCAGGATGGTTTCTAAGCTGGAAGTGGCTTTTCCAGAGCAGAGTTCAGCTTGGAAGCTGATCAAGGTGCACATGGTGGTTCACTACGTGGCTGCAATCAAGAGGGGTGGGTTGCCTGAGGAGTACTCCACCAACATGTACGAGCAGTTCCACAAGAACATTGTAAAGCGCCCGTACCGTGCATCAAATCGGCGACAGTGGATGGAGTCGATCGTGAAGAGCAACCAGTTCATGCAGATGCTTGCTGAGGTCGAGAGCGACATACACGAAGAGCGCGAGTACAACTCTGCATTCTACGAGGTAGTTCAAACATGGACAGTCTCGCAGGTTGCTTGTGTATTACCTATGCATTCCTTTCTTAAGGTGGTCCATTATAGCCTCTTCGATTGCTGATTGTTGCTCCCATTCTCCTGCACCCATCCTACAGGCCGAAACCACATGTAAACGTGTGTTCTTACGCTCCTTTGTGGTCATACACTTGGAGGGGAGCACGGCAAGGAAGAGCAAAACCGACCAATTCAGTGTGTACAACGCAGCTCTTCAAGAGCGTTTGGGAACCTTGGAAGACGACCTTAGTCGTTGCAACATTTCACGAAACACTATTCATGTAAGCCATAAAATGTACTCAAATATGGTTGATCACTTTCCTACCTTGTTTTGTCCACTTCATTCGCCTTACAACCGTGCCGTTTTCCTGCCCTTGTGCGATGTTAGCCCTTTTTCCCTAAAGCCCTTACATATCACCCTTTAACCCTATGCCCTTTTTTGTTTCAACCCTTTTGCCTTTCAGCCGTTATTTCTTTCACCCCTCATGCTTTCAGCCCTTATTTATTTCACCCCGTATGCCTCCCAGCCGTTAGCTCTTTCACCCCTTATGCCTTACAGCCCTACTTTCTTTCACCCGTTGCGCCTCCGCGCTCTTGTGTCGCCCAGCCATTGTTTGTTCCTACCCTTGTGCCTTACAGCGCTCGTTCATTTCAGTCCCTGCGCCTTCAAACCCTTGTTTCTTCGTGCTCTTGTGCCTTACAGCCCTTGTATCCTTCAGCTTATGTGCCGTCCAGTCCGTGTTTCTTCCAGCCCTGGTTTCTACCGGGCCGTTTTTTTTTTTTTTTTTCTTTCTTTCTTTCTTTCTTTCTTTCTTTCTTTCTTTCTTTCTTTCTTTCTTTCTTTCTTTCTTTCCCTTCCAAAACCCATTGTGCATGCCAGCACAAATGTAATCACACGCTTGTGCCGTCCAGCCCTTGTTTCCTAAACCCTTGTGCCTTCTAACCTAGTTGCTTTCCAGCCTTGTGCCTTCCAACTCCTTATGCCTACACCCCAGCAGGTAGAATTCCGTTTTATTGAGAAGTTAAAAATCTTATGGTATCTCTTTCTGGATCCACTACATGGTTATTAATCGTTTCCTCCCATCCCGATCCAGGTTCAACTCCCCTCCTCCAACCCTACACACATGGAATCCTAAACCTATCCTAAATTCCCCCCCCTCCCCCCCCCCCCCCCCCCCCCCCCCCCCGACTCGTACATACAGGTGTTTACTGGTTGTGCTATTCCAGCCGGAACAAGAGCATGCCATTCAAGGGTCACGCACTTCATTCGCGCCAACCCTTCCCACCATGGTCAGCCTTGGTTCTCCCATGTAGCAGTTCTTGGCGAAGGAGGTGTGGTGTGGTATGCTGAAGTGCTTTTGCTGTTCAAGGCGACAGGTTGTGCAACACAGTACGCCTACATGCAATATTTGGAAGCGGCGGGTGTTGATGCCAAAACCAGCTGCACTTCCATGAAATGGGCATAATATCCTCGTTCTCGCAACTTGTACGAGACATAATGGAAGTAGACATGGTACTTCGTGCCGTCCACATCGTGGAATCGTTCGAGCGCAGCGGAACATTCCTGCTCAATGACTTTCTGTTTGATTAAAAATGCATTGATGTTATTGAGTAGAATTTGCCTTCGGAAAAATTGTGGTAAAAATGTTTACGGAAACCCTAAACCTGTATTGATGGAACTAGAAATGTCCTTTGCAGGGCTAAATTAACTAATAACAATAAAATAAGCATGAAAATATAGTGTGCACAAACACAAAAAAAAAAAAAAGTTGCAATAGCGTATAAAAATAGTGTATGCAAAATCGCTTTATAGTATCGAATTACATACCAAAACTATTCTGGTAACCCTAAAGAATACATTTACATGGCAATTGGGAATTCGTTTTGCCCACTGTCTTGCGGAGCGGAAAACCCCCTACCAAAATCGCGTTCGGGATTTTTGAGATGTGGTACGAGCAGGCTGGTACGAGCAGTACAACCTATCCCACTTGTCTTCGCGCTGATAGCATCAAGATGGCTGCGAGACTCGCTTCAGCTTCTGCGCTAATCCTGCTCGCCACGGCTTTGGCGTGCGTCGCGCGTGCTGCAACGGCCGCGAAAATCTCGCAGATGTATGTCACATACAATGCTAGCAGGCAGTCACATACAACGGCCGCGTTTCTGCAATGCTAGCGCGACTCCTCTACGCAACGCTAGCAGGCAGTCGACCATGCTGTGCTGGCAATCGACCAGGCTAGCTGGAGAATTGCTAGGTGCCTGATGTAGTCATTCTTGTCAGTCTATCATTCTGTAATGCAATCTTTGCTGAGTGAAACTCTTGCTGATTTCTCCTGTGAATGGGCAAGTGCTAAGGAACTAAGCAGAGTTACGATCACTCCAAGAGTTCGTGCCAACCTCCCGTGGTCTAGCTCATTACCTTGTAGAGTGACTCTCCGCAAAAACCTCGTGGGCGACATTCGCCTACACGACGAATTTCGCACTCACGCGACTTCCGTCGAGTAGCTCGACGAATGCTCTGTCGAGCAGCTTTCGCCTATACGAGCTCGTCGAGTAGAGCCCGTAAACTACTGCTCCTTGACAGGGCTCGTCGACCAGCGTTCTCTGCGAGCTCTTCAACCACGGTCCTCGACGAGCTCGTCGACCAGCGTCCTTTGCGAGCTTGTCGACCAGCATCCTCTGCGGATGACTTCTGCGGACTGGTCGATGATGACTTCTCCGGACATGTTGACGACGACTTCTCGGACTGGGTGAGGTCGAACTTTACGGACAGGGCGAGGTCGCCTTCTACGTGCAGTCTGCATTGTCTTCTGCGCGAGTCTGCGTCGACTTCTGCGCGCCCCTGACTGCGAGGTCTGCTTCTCATATACTCGCAATCTGCAACGTGCGATTCATTTCGTAGAATTGTTAAAACACCATGAAACATATCTTCCCATTGACTTTTTGTTAGATCAGAAATTGATTGACTTCGTTGTGGATAAGTTTGATTTGAAATATTCATAATTTCATAGATACCAGGAAACATAAATTGCACCAACAAATTTGAGGGAACTAGAGATGTCTAACAGGCAGTGATGATAAATAAGCAACTAAAGTAGAGGAGAGAATGCAATATGCACAATCTGAGAACATTTGCAAGTCATTTGCATAAATATTATACATTTAGCATATACATACATTTTTTATAGTAGCGTTTTACATACTAAACAAATTTTGGTAACGGTTGATTATACATTTGCATAACAAGTGGGGATTCGTTTGGCCTACTGTTTGCGGAACTGAAAACCGCCTACTGAAAACCCTTTCCCGATTTTTTAGATGCCTTCCCCCCCGACTTCCGCCTCCCGGCCCCTCCTTTCCTCTTTTCCCGCATCTGCGGAAGCCGCCACGCTGGAGGCGGAGAGGTTGATCGGGGGGGAGGGGGAAGCGGGGGAAGGGCTAATTGGGAGGGAAGGGAAACCGGGGGAAGGAGGGGGAGTTTATGCGGAGGAGGTTGGCGGCGAGGAAAGGGGTGAAGGAATAGAATCGAGAGCGTAGCGATTGCGAGAGAGTTTCTGCTTTGGGAATAATATTGCGCTAGCAGTTCGGTAGCGTTTTCGGTAGTGTTTGCCTCTAGGGACTTAGTGAGAATTTGAGTAGCAATTGGACTTCACTAGAAATGTAATCTCATATATCCAACACACAAGCAAACACAAGCAAATATAGGCAGGCGAGAGATGCACAAATGTTGCGTGGGCGCTGCCAGTAAACCAACCCCACGAAAGTGGTGTGCGGGTGAGCGAACGCGCCTCGTCAACTTCCCAACCCAACTCAGCAGCGTAAGTCACTTCCGTGCACGCCACACCAGCCAACACTCCAAGGAGTTGCGTGACTCTCAAAGAAAGGCACATACGTCATTCCTAGCACCGATTCCACCGAGTTTGCTGCAGTAGCTCGTTGTCACCCGTAGTCACTAGTGACTGCCACCGAACGCATGCGTCGGTGCCGAGTAGACTTAGTCGTTAGACGCTGGCCTGCTAAGTCAAAGGTCATCGAGGGCCCTTGCTGTCGTAGGGCCCTCTAACACTCCCCTGCCATACTACAGCAAGGCCCTTTATAATCACAGGGCATGCATACACACATACACACCAAAACAAAGGGAAACACACACAAACGAAGCACTCTCAAAGTGCAAACACGCACCGCACCAGCCATGGATAGGCCATGGCACCATACCCAGCATGGAGAGTCTAGGTCTCACTCCCCTCGCTCGAGAGCCTCACCTGCCCCACAGCCTCGAAGCAACGGCTGAAGGCGGGGAAATGCAAAGCCTTGGTAAGGTAGTCGGCAGGCTGCTCGCTCGTAGGGATGTACTGCAGCTGCAGCTTCCTGCGCTTGACCATGTGCTGCAGCCACATGTGACGACGCTCCATGTGCTTGAGGCTCCCCTTGAGCCCCATGCCACCTGCCACTGAAATGGCGGAGGAGTTGTCCACAAAGAGAGTAGTGGGCTCCTCACTCCTCAGCAGTTGAAACTCTGCCAGCAGGAAGCGCAGCCTGCGCGCCTCCTTCCCAGCCTCCACAGCAGCAACGTACTCGGACTCAGTGGAGGAGAGGGTGGCACAACAAATCCTCTGGCTCGCCCAGGAGACAGCGGCACCTCCGAGCACGAAGACATAGCCACCAGTGCTAGTCCTGTTCTGCTTGTCTCCTGCATCATCAGCATCGGCGTAGCCCACCAGCTCCAAGGACTCAGGCCCACCACCAAACTCCAGCGCCACATCCCTGCTCCCCACCAAGTATGCCAAGCATCGGTCCAACTCCTTCCAGTGCTGGTCACTCCGCACAGTCTGGCCTGACCCCAGCTTGCTGCAGGCAAAGGAGATGTCGGGACGGGTGGTACAGGCTGCGAACTGCAAGGATCCCACCTTCTGCCTGTACTCCTCCTCCTGGCGAGACTGCCATCCCGCATCCTCAAAGGTCTGCACACTGAAAGGGTCAGAGGAAAGGGGGGTGCGAGGCACTCGCAGCGGCTGCTCCCCGTCGAAGAAGCGCCTATGGACCTTGTCCACGTAGGCCCCCTGGTGCAGCCACAGCCTCCTCGTAGGCCTGTCCCGAATCAGCTGCAACCCCAGGTACTTCTCCACAGGGCTAATCTCCCGCAGCTGAAACGCACTCTGCAGCAGCTCACGCAGCTCCCCCAGCATGCTCTGACTGCGGCTGGCAGCAAGCAAATCATCCACATACACCAGCAGCCAGCACATCTCCCCCTCAGCATCACTCTTGAAGTACAAAGCCTCATCCACTTTGCTCTTCTTCCATCCAGCCCCAAGCAGCACCCCATCCAAGGCCTCATACCACAGCATCGGGCTTTGCTTGAGGCCATACAGACTCTTCAACAACTTACAGACACGAGGAGTCCCATCCTCGTAGTAGCTCGGCTGCTCCATGTAAAGGTCTCGGTCCAGCGTGAACCCCTTCACCACCAGCCTCGCTTTCTCACGCTCCACTACCCCATCCGGTCGGAACTTGGTGTTCAGGATCCAGCGGTTCTTCATCACATTCACCCCTGGCGGACGCGGAACCAACTCCCACGTCCCCTGCTCAATCAAGCTCCGCATCTCCTCATCCATCGCCTCCTTCACCTTGTCGCCCTTCCAGCAGCCCAAGGCCTCCTTCACTGTCATCTTCGCTATATCCCATTGCCTTTCAGGGTCGGCCACCACGTCAGGATCCAGGTCCGTCCACTCCTCGTCCTCCTCCTCGTCATCCAATCCCGCCGGCTCAATCACTAAAGCCCAAGCATACTTAAGAGGCGGGATACCACGAGTGATGCGAGTGGAGCGACACAGTGGTGCAGTGATCGTCCCAGAAGCCAACACACGACCACCATCTCTGATTCCCCACATCTCCTGCTCCCCTGTCTGCGGCTCCCCTGTCTGCTGCTCCCCTAGCTGCTGGTCCACCATCTGCTGCTCCTCAATCTGCTCCTCCCCTATCTGCTGCTCCCCACTCTGCTGCTCCCCTGACTGCTGCTCCCCTATCTCCTGCCCCCCACTCTGCTGTACTCCATCCATACTGCTCTTGTCCTGCAGCTGCTCATTCGCAAGGCGCTGCCCGTCGGTGATCTCCACAGACGGTGGCACCACTATCCCCCCCTCACCAACGGGCGGCGCCGTGGAAGATGAAGAGGAGGGTGGAGCAGGTGCAGGAGGGATGGAGGGTGGAAGGGGAGAGGGAATAACAGGAGGAGGAGGGGAAGCCAAGGGGGGTGAGGATGAAGAAGGTGGGGCAGGGGGAACCACACGAGGGTAAACTGAAGGCGGAGGTGGGGTGGGGACCGAGGTAGGGACATAGGGCATAGCAGGAGGTGCGACCACCTCCTCCTCCTCCACCGCCTCCTCAAGAGTGATCGGGAAGTGAGAGGGAAGGGGCTCATAGGGCATTGGACGCCCCCCATGCTCTTGCTGATGCCACGCCTTCCATCCTGCCAAGGACATGGTCTCATAGAACACAGCTTCCACAGTGGTGATGAGGCGGTTGGACTCCAAGTCCAGCACGGTCCAGCCCTTGCTCGCTGCGGACACCCCCAAGTGCAACCCCCAGCGAGCCTTAGGTGCCAGCTTCCCCCCACGCTGCGACTGAGGCACCATGTACTGCACCATGCAGCCCCATACCCGCACCATACTGACATCGGGTTTGTGTCGAAAGGCGAGCTCGTACGGCGTCACACCAGAGGGCAGCGAGGCGTGCTCCACGCGGTTGCGCACCCAGACGGCCTGCGCCAACGCCAGGTGCCACCAGTGGTGCTGCACCCCCATGTGCAGCAGCATCGTTCGCACCGCCTCCACAATGCTGCGCATCTCCCGCTCGGCCATCCCGTTCTGCTCCGGCGTGTACGGGCACGTCAGGTCATGGATGATGCCTTTGCCGTCGAGGAAGAGCGTGAAGTCATGCCCAAGGAACTCGCCACCCCGATCAGTGCGCAGCGCCTGCACCGTGGTCTTACACTGCCGCTCTGCCATCGGGAGCCACTTCTGGAACGCCGCCAGCGCATCACTCTTCTGAGCCAAAGGGTAGGCCCAGACGTACCGCGACTTGCGATCCTTCAGCACCAGGAAGTAGCGGCTGCCGTCCTTAGCTGTTTCACGGAAAGGGCCACACAGGTCAGCATGCACCACTCCAAGCAACTCATCCTCCTCCGCACCCACTGACGGGAAGGTATGACGAGTGATCTTCCCCCCAACACAGGAGACACAAGGTATGCCTGACTTGCCCCCCTTCTCCAGGTCCAAGCCCTTCACTGACCCGTGAGACGCAGTGCGCTCGATGGCATCAACGCCAACGTGTGCCATACGGGCATGCCACATGTCCACCTTAGACCGCACGCCCGTCGTCAAGGTACGAAGGGCCACCGTTTCTCCTTCCTGCTGCTGCGTCGAACACGGCTGGAAGTTCGTGCAGAGAACACGCCCCCTGAACTCTGCACGCCCAAGAAGCGACCCATCTGGTGCCCGCAGCAGAGTCACGTCGCCTGCATCCAGCAGCTGCACGCCACTATCACGCAGCTGCCCAGCAGAAAGAAGACTCGCCTGCACTCCAGGTACGTACAGCACATCCGGCACCAAGACACGCCTGCCCCCCTCTCCATGAAGAGCGACTGTGCCTCGCCCCCGCACCTCCTGAAGAGCGCCGTTGAAGCCCGTAACCTGTTTGATACTGCCGCCGCTGCTCATCTCCACAAAGGCAGAACGATCTCCCATGAGATGGTGGGAGCATCCGCTATCAAGTAGCACGACGCTCGGGTTCGCCTTCACAGCAGCTGCAACAGCCTGTAAGCCCTCCCCGGCCTCAGGCTCCAGCACAACGAGAGGAGTCTGCTCTACAACGGGCTTCACCATCGCACATGATGACTGCCCGCTCCCCTTAGAGCCATCACCCCCCTTGCCGCTGCTACCTCCAGAACCCTCTCCACCAGTGTCTGCCTCCTTATCCGCCCGCTGCTGACAGTACTTAGCCACATGCCCTATCTGTCCACACACATAGCATTTCCCCTTGAAGCCCCCTTTCCCCCCCTTCGGCTGACCATCCTTAGCCCCTTTCCACTTCTCCCCTCCGCTACCAACCCCACCCCCATTCTTAGGCTGCTGCTGCTGTGCCGTAGTGGGAGGGGAAGGGGATGAAGTCTGCTGGAATTGGGTCTTACCCTTCTTGGCAAAGACTTGGTTAGCCTGGGGAAGAAATTGGTCCTTCCGTCCCTCCGCCGCCAGCGTACACTCCTCCTCGATAATGTAGCTAGCGAGGGTGTCCTCGTCCAACTCCTTGCGCACCTGCGGCAGCTTCAGCATCCTGCGTAAGAGGTTGTACTGCTGCGGCAACCCCTTCACGACGTGAGTAATGTACGACGCCTGCGAATAATCTACGCCGGCCATCCTCAAGTTCACTAGGATCTGCTGTGCACGGTTGCAATAGGATGTGGCGGACTCGTGCTCTCCCATCTCGAGGTTAGTGAGCGCCTGCTCTAACTGACCTATGTACAGGTCGTCTTTCGCTTGATACGTGCGCATGATAAACTGCCACGCTTGGAAGCCGGCATCTACCTTCATGCGACACGCCTTAAGGGCGATCTGTACGGTTGGGGAGCAGCATCGGGAAATCGTGGTGAACGTCAGTAACTGCATTGCGCGAAACTGTGTGACGAGTGCAACTGCGTGCGCTTGGGGAGCGGGTGTGGTACCGTCAATGAATCGCTTAAGCTGGGCGATCTCAAGCTGAGGCTCGATTGATTCTACCCACGTCGACAGGTCGTGACGTCCTTCTAACGGCTTAGGTACGACGATTTTGTCTGGAGTGAATTTGAAGAAGCCATAGTTGGGGGCTATTCCCTCGTCCCTCGTCATTGATCCAATCGGGGTAACGCCCGGCATAGCCTCACTATCGAGTCCTTCGATATTTCCGCCTCCAGCAATGCTCCGTCGTCCTACAATCTCACGCTCTCGTGACGCTGCCGCTAGATGAACACGCTCCTGTACGCCACCAACGCTAGCGGTACTAAAACGCGCATGTCCTCGCTGGACCCCACGCGACATCATCCTTTCAAACTCCTCGTCATCGCCATCTCCGTCATCGACAGCCATATCCCACGCACTAGTTCCTCCCGCGGCTTGCTCTACACGTGGCGAAGGATGATCGCGACGCCGACGAGCGCGTAATCCCTCCCGCATGAGCTCGTATTCGAGATCACTAGTCACACCACGAGAATGCCGGGCCTCGAGATCCTCCTCTAGTGCGCGAAAATTATCGGCCTCCACGTTCGCCTCCTCCGTACTCATCCTCTACGACGCCTCAGTAAGGTGCCACAAATTAAAATAAATTGTTCCTTCCTTAAATCCCTCGTCTCGGGGTCACCTCACAAGGGTCCTCAGACGAGTGGTAATAAATTACCAAACGCCCTATCCTTGGGTCCGAGAACGTAACTGGAGGGAAATTAAGAAAGGTTCAACTTAAATTAATAAGCTTATTTAACTAACGCCGCACGCCAAGGCGAGTATACGAACGTCACTATAATCGACGACGGAAATCTATGCGTGTTCGTTCCACGCTCACCGCACCATGAAGGAATAGAATCGAGAGCGTAGCGATTGCGAGAGAGTTTCTGCTTTGGGAATAATGTTGCGCTAGCAGTCTAGGGACTTAGTGAGAATTTGAGTAGCAATTGGACTTCACTAGAAATGTAATCTCATATATCCAACACACAAGCAAACACAAGCAAATATAGGCAGGGGAGAGATGCACAAATGTTGCGTGGGCGCTGCCAGTAAACCAACCCCACGAAAGTGGTGTGCGGGTGAGCGAACGCGCCTCGTCAACTTCCCAACCCAACTCAGCAGCGTAAGTCACTTCCGTGCACGCCACACCAGCCAACACTGCAAGGAGTTGCGTGACTCTCAAAGAAAGGCACATACGTCATTCCTAGCACCGATTCCACCGAGTTTGCTGCAGTAGCTCGCTGTCACCCGTAGTCACTAGTGACTGCCACCGAACGCATGCGTCGGTGCCGAGTAGACTTAGTCGTTAGACGCTGGCCTGCTAAGTCAAAGGTCATCGAGGGCCCTTGCTGTCGTAGGGCCCTCTAACAAGGGGGAAGGGGGAAGGCGGAGGGGGAAGGTCGGGAAACGTAATGGATGGGGACTGCGCGAGCGGGGAGCGGGAGCCATTGACGGGAGGGGGGGACGGAGAAGATGGAGGAACTGGGGAAGGGGAAGTGGCGGAGGCTGTGGGGGGAAGGACGCAGGAAACGGTGTTGGATATTGAGGTCTTGAAGGAAAACGTTAGCGTGAGTGAGAGCAGTGGGACGGGAAGAGAAGGGAGGAACGAGATGGGCGAGACGGAGAGAAGGGAAGGACAAGATGCTGCTGCTGTTGGTGGTGCAGAAGGGGCAGCAGACGAGGCGGGTAAAGGAGTGAGTGTGGGAGAGGCATCAGGGACGACTGGAGCACAGCAGTCAGAAACCCCACCGAAAGCAGACCCCTCGCAAACAGCACCAACAGCTGCAGCGGGAGCAGCAGCAGCAGCAGCAGCAGCAGGATCAGCACCAGCCGGAGCAAGAGCAGGAGCGCGAAGAACAACAGTGGATGGCGGGCGCACGTGGGGCGGGGGCATCCGCGCCAACACCACCCCCTACTGGCGCTTCGTGCAGATCCTCTCCGCGGTGGGCGCGGGGGTGATATTCATCCCCGCGCTCGTCTTTACAGTCATCATCTTCGTCCGCAGCCTCTGCCTGCAGGCCTGGTACCGCCTCTGCTACTCGGGGGCTGTCCGTAGGCGAAATCGGCGAGTGGTAACCCCATCGTGCCTGTCAGTGCTGCCTTCGCCGTGCATGCGGGGGACTCTGGATCTAGAGCAGCGATTGGAGGTGGTCTCGTGGGAGGACGGGCGGGTGGTGACGTGGCGCAAGTCGGACGAGGCGGCGAGAGGAAGTAACGGTGCGACTGGTGCCGCTGCTGCTGCTGCTGCTGGTGCTGCTGGTGTTGCCGCTGCTGCTGCTGGATCTGTTGGTGATGGTGATGGTGGTACTACTACCGGTGCGAGTGCTGGCGACGCTGGCACTTCGAGCAGCGAGGGGGGAAAAGGAGAGGTCTGTATCGACGTGGGGGGGAGCTCGGGAGCAGAATCCGCGGGAGCACTGGCAAGCGGCAGAGGAGGCGCGAGTGCGGGGGGAGCAGGCGGAGAGGAGGGCGGGGGGGACAACTCAGTAGCGGGGATAGAGATCCGCCCCGCGTCCCCCATGGCGAGCGTGGCGGAGAACAGCTACCAGCGCGGCATTCCCAGGAGGCTGTCGCTGAGCTTCGTGCACGCGTGGACGTTCACGTACACGCACGTGGTGAACCGCACGGCTGTTATGAACGAGGACACGCTGCTGGAGCTCGTGAGGAGGCGGCCTAAGGGGACGCCGCTGATTACAGTCAGCAACCACATGTCCACGTGCGTCCGGGGGTGGGGATGGATGGGGTCGCATGGGGTCGCATGGGATCTACTGGCACCCGCGGCTTCTCCTAGCACCCGCGGCTTCTCCTAGCACCCGCGGCTTCTCCTAGCACCCGCGGCTTCTCCTAGCACCCGCGGCTTCTCCTGTGAAACCAGGGCGCCTGCACTCCTCCATCCCTCAACTCTCTTATGGCCCCACTTCTCTGTCCCCTATCTCTCTTCCCCGTCTCCCCTCGTCTCCCATTCTCTGCGCATCTTCCCTCTTCTTCTTCTCCCCCCGTCCTCCTCTTCTCCCCCGTCCTCCTCTTCTCCCCCGTCCTCCTCTTCTCCCCCGTCCTCCTCTTCTCCCCCGTCCTCCTCTTCTCCCCCGTCCTCCTCTTCTCCCCCGTCCTCCTCTTCTCCCCCGTCCTCCTCTTCTCCCCCGTCCTCCTCTTCTCCCCCGTCCTCCTCTTCTCCCCCGTCCTCCTCTTCTCCCCCGTCCTCCTCTTCTCTTCTCCCCCGTCCTCCTCTTCTCCCCCGTCCTCCTCTTCTCCCCCGTCGCCTCTCCAGTCTCGACGACCCTTCCCTCTGGCGCCTGTGCGTGTGCGACCCTTGACTCTCGCCCAGGCTAATACCCCCATCTCTCTCTCATTCCACCAGGCTCGACGACCCGCTGCTGTGGCGCCTGCGCTTCTCTGCATCCTGTCCCTCTTGCCTATCTCCCCTCTCCTCCCGTTGCTTTGGGACCCACCCACCCGCCCCACCAGGCTCGACGACCCGCTGCTGTGGAACCAGTGGCGCCTGCGCTTCTCCATCTCACAACTCCCTGCCCGTCCCATATGCCCGCCTGCCTTCCCTCTCCTCCCCTCACCAGGCTCGACGACCCGCTGCTATGGAACCAGTGGCGACTGCGCTTCTCCGACCCGCATCTGTGCCGCTGGACGCTCACAGCGCGCGACATCTGCTTCACGCACCCCTTCACCGCCTACCTCTTCCGCCTTGGTCAGTGCACCGAGTAACGGTTAAAGTGTGGAGAGCAGGTATCAGTGTCAGGCTCTCGCTCTCTCTCCCGATGGACGCTCACAGCGCGCGACATCTGCTTCACCCATCCCTTCACCGCCTACCTCTTCCGCCTCGGTGAGCTCTAGCAGCGTCAACACTATGTCTCTGTGTCAGGGCCTTCTCTCGGCCCTCTCAGCCCACTCAGCCCTCCCAGTGCCAGGGCTCTCTCACTACCGATGGTCCCTCACAGCGCGTGACATCTGCTTCATGCACCCCTTCCCCACCTTCCCCCCGTCCCTCCTTCCCTCCCTCCCTCCCTCCCTCCCTCCCTCCCTCCCTCCCTCCCTCCCTCCATACCTCCCTCCCTCGCTCCCTCCCTCCCGGGTGCTCACCAGCCAAGTGCATCCCCATCGACCGCTATGGAGGCATCTATCAGCCGGGAATGATGGAGGCTCAAGGAGCCACATGTTCCCTGCAAGCTCACTCACACTCATCCCCCCATCCATCCATCCGCCCCCTCTTCTCATTCTCTCCCCACCCCCCTCCCCCCGCCTCAAACCCCCTGCCACCAGCCAAGTGCATCCCCATCGACCGCTATGGGGGCATCTATCAGCCGGGAATGACGGAGGCCGTTCAGCGCCTCAGTGCGGGCGGATGGGTGAGTGCAGGGTGGGCCATGGCCAGGGATTGGGAGGGGAAGGGAGGGCCATGGCCAGGGATTGGGAGGGGAAGGGAGGGCCATGGCCAGGGATTGGGAGGGGAAGGGAGGGCCATGGCCAGGGATTGGGAGGGGAAGGGAGGGCCATGGCCAGGGATTGGGAGGGGAAGGGAGGGCCAGGGCCAGGGATTGGGAGGGGAAGGGAGGGCCATGGCCAGGGATTGGGAGGGGAAGGGAGGGCCATGGCCAGGGATTGGGAGGGGAAGGGAGGGCCAGGGCCAGTTATTGGGAGGGGAAGGGAGGTAGGCGGGTGCGGTTGGAGGTGATTTGGTTTGGAAGGCAAACCCTCACGGGTAGAGGCCGCTCTGCGGATCAGTGCGGGCGGAGGGGTGAGTGGGAGTGGGCGGATGAGTGGGTAGGAGGCGAAGGGGTGAGTGCGGCAGGGGGATGGGTGAGTGCAGGGGGGATGGGTGCACTGTGGATGGGGCGTGGGGGGTGTGAAGCACAGGGGGATGAGGTGGGTGCGTGTGGAGTTGATTGGAAGGCAAAGGCCGCGCAGGTCAAGGTGTGGGAGGCTGTTCAGCGTCTCAGTGCAGGCGCCCTCCCTCCCTCCTCCCGTCTCCCGCGGCCCACCCCTCCCCCTAAACACCACCCACTCTAGGACTCATAGTTACAAATGCGATCCCCCCCCCCCCCTCCTCCCCGCCCTTCAGGCCTTCCCCCCAAAACACCAGCCACTCACTGCAAGTAACCTTAGGATGTGAGGATCATCCTGTGCAAATCACTCAGGAACACATGGCCGTGACAAGTATTGGAACATGTGGCCTTGGCGCGCCTCAGGTGTTTCCTTCAGCTCGTTCCAGATACCTCCGACCCCATTCCACCGCATTCCACCACATTCTACTCCTCCCGCAGCTGCACATATTCCCACAGGGGCGCATCACCCAGGAGCACGTGGCATTGGCGCGCCTCAAGTCATTGCGCCAGCTCCACTTATAACCCCCTCCCCCCCCCCCCACCCCCCCCCCCCCCCGCCTCCCTCTCCCCCCACCCCTCCATCCCACCCCATTCCACCGCATTCCACCCCTTTCCAGCTGCACATCTTCCCAGAGGGGCGCATCACCCAGGAACATGTGGCATTGGCGCGCCTCAAGTGGGGGCTGGCGTCGGTCATCGACCGCTGCACCTCGCCCGTGCCACCCATCATCCTCTGCGTCGCACACAGCGGCTTCGAGAATGTGAGTGCTGTGGGGTTATGTGCCTGCACGTCTTGCTGCATAGGCGCGCCTCAAGTGGGGGCTGGCGTCGGTCATCGACCGCTGCACCTCGCCCGTGCCACCCATCATCCTCTGCGTCGCACACAGCGGCTTAGAGATTGTGAGTGCTGTGGGGTTATGTGCCTGCACGTCTTGCTGTGGGGTTATGTGCCTGCACGTCTTGCTGTGGGGTTATGTGCCTGCACGTCTTGCTGCATAGGCGCGCCTCAAGTGGGGGCTGGCGTCCGTCATCGACCTCCCCTGTCCCCCCGATCATCCTCTGTGTGGCACACAGCGGGTTTGAGAATGTGAGTGCTGTGGGATTATGTGCCTGCATGTCTTGTCGCATGCACGTGCCTCAAGTGGGTGCTGGGGTAGGTTATCGACCGCTGCACCTCCCCCGTACCAGCGACCCATCATCCTCTGCGTGGCGCAGAGCAGTTTGAAAATGTGAGAGCACCAGGGGTTGTCAAATGCAGACAGGTGGGCTGCGGAGGTCTTACTTCCATCAACTCGTATGGTGATGAAAACGACGAGTCAAACCCCATGGGATGGATGGAATTCCCGGTTAACTGTGAGCTTAGAGCGTTGTCTTAGAGAGCCAGTTTAAACAAAACGTCAACTTAATCCAGGTTTGAGAGAGCACCAGGGGTTGGTAGGGTATGATGCAGGTTTGATAACGTGAGTGGCTGAGGGGTATGTGCTTGGATGTGCATGTATCCTCTCGTCTCGTGGGTTGGCTAGCGTCGGTTATCGACCGCTGCACGTCCCCTGTCCCGCCCATCATCCTCTGTGTGGCACACAGCGGGTTCGAGAATGTGAGTGTGGGGGGGGGGGGGGGGGGTTTGTGCTTGCATGCGCTCGCCATTTGCTTGCATGCGCTCGCCGAGTTTGAGAATGTATTGTGGCAACTCTCTGAACGCTTCTCTTTCTCCTTTCGACTCTCTCACTTCTTCAGGTGATGCCTGAGCCGCGTGCGTTCGGCCACAGGGCCATAGCGCCGCTGTGGGGGCAGCGCATAGCAGTGGTGGTGGGGGAGCCGTTTCAGTTCAACATGCCGGCGCTCAGAGCAGCAGCTGCCCACGCTGCTGACCACCCAGACGACTCTACCTTCGGGGTTGAACCCACCCCGCCTGCTGCCCACCCCTCCACTGCTGCTTCTGCTGCTACTGGTTCCGATTCTGCTGCTGCGGGCTCTGCTACGGCTGCTGGTGTTTCTGATTCTGCTGCTGCTCCTGCCGGTTCTGCTGATGCTGCTGCTGCTCCCAACGCTCCTGCTGCTGCGGCAGCAGGCAGAGATGCAACAGTTGTGGAAGTGGGAGGGGGCAGCAGTGCAGTGAAGGACGAGGCAACGAGGAGGCTGTATGCGTTTATCACAGGGGAGGTGCGGCAGCGGCTGCAGGGTGCAGTGGATGAGGCACACCGACGCCAGGCAGATGGGTGCTGCTGATGCTGTTGCTGTTGCTGACTGCTGCTGACAAGTGCTGCTCGTGAGTGCTGCTCGTGAGTGCTGCTCGTGAGTGCTGCTCGTGAGTGCTGCTCATGAGTGCTGCTCGTGAGTGCTGCTCGTGAGTGCTGCTCGTGAGTGCTGCTCGTGAGTGCTGCTCGTGAGTGCTGCTCATGAGTGCTGCTCGTGAGTGCTGCTCGTGAGTGCTGCTCATGAGTGCTGCTCGTGAGTGCTGCTCGTGAGTGCTGCTCGTGAGTGCTGCTCGTGAGTGCTGCTCGTGAGTGCTGCTCGTGAGTGCTGCTCGTGAGTGCTGCTCATGAGTGCTGCTCGTGAGTGCTGCTCGTGAGTGCTGCTCGTGAGTGCTGCTCGTGAGGGCAAGGGGGAGGTGTGGCAGCGGCTGCAGGGTGCAGGGGATGAGGCACACCGACGCCAGGCGGATGGGTGCTGCTAAGGCTATTGTTTAATAACCGCTGCTCATGAGTGCATGTGTGCTGTTTTCTGCATGTGGCGATCTCTACTGCTTCAGCTTTTCACAGGGGAGGTGCAGCACAGGCTCCCAGCAGCTGTGGGCAGCAGCGGATAAGGCACACCTGAGGCAGGCAGGTGGGCGCTGCTGACTGCTGCTGCTGTTGAGTGCTGCTTTGTGAGTGCTGCTGCTGAGTGCAAGGGGCGGTGCGGCAGCGGCAGGCAGATGGGTGTTGCTGATAAGTGCTGCTCATGGGTTTATAATTGCTGATTTTTGCATGCAGCAACTGCTTCTGCTTTTCGCATGAGTCTGCAAGCAGCAGTGGATGAAGCACACCCAGTGGTATGCAGATGGGTGCTGCTGACTGCTGCTCATGAGTTCATACCTACTGCTGCACCGCAGTACCCCCATTAACAGCACAAAACCATCCAACACACACGTCATCACATCTCCCCGCGTAGTGGTAGTTTTGTTGGACTATAAAGGCTTCAAATGTGAACTGGTGCAGAAATCAGTGCAAGCGCATGCTGCATGTCATGTTTTTTTCAAGGTAGGCTACTCCAGCTTGAATGATGGTTTGTCTGTGTTTGTCTGTACCGTAATTGCTTGTTTCCTTATTTTACCGTATGTTTGTATTGTGTTGACATATGTCAGAATGAAGAATGGATGGTGCATTGATGTTGGTTGGGGTACATATAGCTAACCCTAAGTTTTGTACCCCCTAAGACAAACCTCACTATAGGCTACAACATTTGACACACCCCCATAGCCTAAGTGAGGGGTGTCTAGCAGAACCAAACGAGTACGGTCACAAGACCAGTCCAAGAAACGAAGCTCAGGGTGGATCACAACGTCACCACACAGTCTGAGCACAAACAACAGTGGCCACAAGGCCAGTCCAAGAAGTAACAGAGGTATATAGAAAGCAAAGTAAACAGTACACTCAAGTCTAAGCAACACGAGAACCAGTGTCAACAAGGCCTAAC